ATGTTTTCTCATTTCTTTGCAGAAAACTGATGTATGGGTCCCAGGAAGTCCTACGAATCCTGAAACATATATTTTGAAGGATCAGGTACTATTTCATATCTAATCATAGAAACTTTACTGGATATGAAATTCTATTGGTCTCCCATGTCAAATCTTTAGCAGTCTTTGGCATCCGTTACTTAAGATGCTAGCTAATGCATGTTATTTGAGGTTTTTGTAAACTGCAAACATCAATTCAATCTTACATCAAGAAACTTGTAACATTGTTTATGTTAAATGAAGAATGGGATGGTTATTTAGGAACTGATCTTGTCATATATGCTAGTTATTGTATTTTTCCTCTTGCCTTTTCTTTTTTTTTTTTGTACATCCTGTTTGATAATATTACCCAAAACTGTATGATGAAACTCAGGGGAAGTCATTCTATCTGTCTTATATTGTCAAGCCACTGTCCTCTGAATTCAGTTGGGTTTACATTGGCTTTTATTTTCGATACTAGGAAACTCGATATCGCCAACGCTATCTTGATTTGATGTTAAACCTGGAGCTTCGTCAAATATTCAAGACGACCAGATCTAAGATCATTTCTTATGTAAGGAATTTTCTTGACAATCTTTATTTCTTGGGGGTTAGTCATCTGCTCAATGCATCAAGTTATCACTTTCCTTTATATTTCTTCCTTTTTTTGGCAGTTTCATTAATGTCAAAATTTCATCATTATGTTGAAACTCGCATTTTGCACATGATTGCTGGAGGTGCATCTGCCCGTTCATTTGTAACCTATCACAAAGAATTAAACAGGAAGCACCACATGCGTATTGCACCAGAGTTATGTCTTGAGCAGCTAGTAGTTGGTGTAGGGCTGTAAACGAGCCGAGCCGAGCCGAGTAGTGAGAAGCTCGAGCTCGAGCTCGACTCACAACTCGGGGCTCGATACTCGGCTCGAGCTCGATCGAGTTTTATTTTTCAGCTCGAGCTCGATTCGTGATCGAATTCGAGCTACTCGAGCTCGCTCGATTAATATGTAAAAATAAGCTCGATTCGTATATTTGACAAGAGTTCGATTATTTATGCTCGAATTCGAACTCGGACTCGAAATATTTTATTAATTAAAATAATAAAAATATATTTAAATATAAAAGCTCGATTAGGCTCGCGAGCTATTCGAGTCAGAGATAAGAATACTCGAATTCGGCTCGATCGATAAGTCGAGCTACTCGAGCTCGAGCTCGACTCGATAATAATCGAACCGAATTCGAGTTTTCTTCGAATCGAACCCGAGTAACTTGCGAGTACTAATGTATCATTTATACCCCTAAGTTGGTGGACTGGATCGTGTTTATCAAAATTGTAAAACAATTTAGAAATGAAGGCAATGATTTGACTCACAATCCTGAATTCACCTCCTCTGAGTTCTATATGGCTTTTGCAGACTATAATGACTTGATGAATATCACTGAAAAATGTTGTGTGGTAAGTAACAAAAATGGCTTGACATTGAATGATACCTTTCTGTTTGTTGATTTTCTTCTCATTTTCTCATTTCCGAATTTATTGCCTTTTTTCTGGCTTGATTAATCTGCAACAGGGATGGTCAAGGAACTTACAGTCAGCTGTAAAATTAAAAATCGTGCAAATGGCCTTGATAATGAGCCAATTGAGATCGATTTCACTCCGCCTTACAGGTTTGTAGGTCGCCTTTACTCATGATGTGAGCAAAACCGAAAACAGCCTTGGAAGTGACTTTTGCTAATAAATTTGTCACTAATTTTTACAGGAGGCTTGACATGGTAGAGGAGTTAGAGAAGATGGCTAACCTCAACATACCCAAGGATTTTTCCATTGATGAATGTAACAAGTATTTGGTGGATGCATGTGCAAAGTTTGAGACTGAATGCCCTCCACCCCAAAACAACAGCACGTTTGTTGGATAATGTCTACTGTCTTTCCTCTTTCTCTTTGAATATTTGTTGTGTGATGCAAGGTACTTTGGGGGCTTTTTGTTTTGTAATAAGCGTTATGTAATCTGGCGGGACCTCTTCGAGGGAGTTCCAGGTTCAAGTGCTTTACTTTTGCCAGCTTACTGAGCAGGATGGTACGGAAAACAGAAACTGGCTTAAGGGATCACATTGGAGTGTCTATTGGTGTGATATTTTCTTATCTCTATTTTATCGTTGGTTGGACTTTTGGTATTGTATTACTGGTTGAGTCAAGCCATGATAAGACATAGAACAGTAAGAATTGTAACTTTAGCTCCGTGAGTGTTTTTGTTGCCATACTGGATGTATGGCTGGTTGCTTAGGCAGCTAGATTCTGATGTGGTTTACACGCTATATACTGAATATATTATTTACTTGTAATCTCAGTTCCCGTCCGGTTCGTTTGTTCACGTTCGATTATGTATACATATAATTTGATTCATGAACCAGTTTTTAGCTTGTTCTTGTGTATGGAAGTGTAGTTGGACTGAGTGGTGATGTTAGGTGATGTCTATTGGGGTTGTGAACCATCAGAAGAGGAGAGAATGTGTCTATGCTAACCATTGCTGGGAACAAGGAGAGCTAGGGGAACAAAGAGTTTACACATGGGCACATACAGGCCTTTGCGTGAATGCTAATTTTTTCTTTGATTGCACCTTGTGGGTCATTGTCTAGAAGAGACGTGTGTGAATCCTACTTTCATCATCAACCATCTTGAAATAATGAGTCCTTTGGCAAAGTGGCATAGGTCAAAACCTGGGCTGACTGAGCGTTTTGAACTTTTTATCAAACATGAAGTACGTTTATTCAACATCATGAATCTAGTTATTTTCCTACTCTCTTATTCACTTAAGCTTGCAATTTTGCTACTTCCTAACTGCTCAGCTTTGCAATGCATACACTGAGTTGAATGATCCTGTTGTACAACGTCAACGATTCGCTGAACAACTGAAGGTATCAAACACTATTACAAGTGTTGTGCTGTAATGGCAACATTAATTAGATCGGCAATTAGGTGATGATGAAGCAATGGCTTTGGATGAAACATTCTGTACTGCACTTGAGTATGAATTGCCACCAACTGCTGGTTTTGGATTGCGTATCGATCGGCTAGCCATGTTGTTAACAGATTCACAGAATATCAAGGTTCCCTCTCTCTCATTTGTATGTGTGTGAGTGTGTTTGTATATCCGCTCACCCATACATACTACATGAGATTGTTTATTTGGAAAAATACTCCATGAGATTAAGTACTTGACTTTTTATTGGGCACTCATAATCTCTTGCATGCTATTCAAGCAGGAGGTTCTTCTCTTCCCAGCCATGAAACCTCAGGATGAACCATCTGCTAAGGGTAATTAATTCAGTTTCACACTGTTTAATTTCCTCATTATTTTTTTATCCTTTTTGGAGTCCCCTTTTAAATCTAGAACATTGTTCCAGTCTCATGTTTGGCTTGACAAACATCATATAGTATTTTATGGCTAATGCACATGCAACATCTGCGAAGCAGACTCCCATGTATTTTGTTCAGTTCTTGATCAGTAATCATCTTGATTTGTCTGATTTATTTTCATTTATCATATATCTAATTTGTAGCGTAACACTTAATGGTTTGATGGTTTTTGCAGCTCCAGCAACTTGGGGAGTTCAACCTGCTGAAATATGACAACTTGGCTTTGATCAACAGTGTTTATGGTAGTCCCTGTTATAAGAGCTGTCAAGTTTTTGGTGTCAATTTTTCGAAAGAGAGTTTTGCAGTTGTCTTTCAACCCCCTATGTTAGGGTAAATATTGTAAGTATAGGTGTTCATCATATACGATTAGAAGTTTACCTTATTTTAATAAACTGAATAGCTATGTCGAAAGGTATCAAAACAGTTATAGCAAAATGTCTTTCATGTTTTCATCCCTCTCCATTTTCACCCAAAATTTGCCTTTTAACACTTTTATCCCAATCTGAGCATCTTCCCAAATATCAACCAATTCAGGTAGTTACTAAAGTTTTAAAATTTTGAGTGAAATACAACAAGATTAAGTGACCTCTTCTGCAGAAATGATCTTTTCGATTGCTTCAGTCATCAACCAGCAACCCATCCAACTCTTCTAAGCATTAAGCTTTTGAAAACATATGTCAACTTTGGTCATGCATGCAAAGACAAAGTTCTTAGAGCTTAAAAGCTTCCTTTTGGGACAACACAAACACCCTCCCAAATGCATGTCAAACTCCATAAATAATGAAAACTCAAGACTATAATCAGATATGCTACTTGATTAGCAGTTCTTGAAATGAATCTAAACATGGAGAATTTGATTTGCTGTCTAAGTTTCCCAATGTCCTCAATACTGACATTAACTTCCACTTGTATTCTCTACTGCTTTTCATTTTCTAATTCTTTTATAACCACCTTTTAATCAGCTGCAAAAATTACTTTATGAGTCTTTTGCCAAAAGAACTCCCTGCCTTAAAACCTCTGCTTCCCACCAGAATAGCTGATTCTCCATTAATTATTCTGCCAATACTAGCATCCATTATTATCTCTAGCTATAACTCCAATACCAGTTTCTCTACTTTCTTTACTAAAGGCTCCATCACAGTTGATCTTAATCCAGCCTTTTTTGTTCCATGCCGATCCCCTTCTTGTTTTCCTATTCTCTTAATAAAGCTTTATTGTTTTGCAAAAAAATAAATTTACCCTTGGAGAAAAACTAGAGGTTTTATTGAGAAGTTTATAATGTTAAATGCTTGAAGGGTGAGGGTCAGTTGAGATACTCCAGAAAGGAGTTAATGTTTCCCAAAAATTTTAGATGAAATTACATTAATACCAATACTCGCTGATATATGTAAGAATTTATACATGACCATGACCACACATTACTAGTACTTTTTTCAGTACTTGTTTTTGCAGCAGATTGGATGACCTTTCACACCATGAAATCACTCCGAGTAATATATTTTCCTACCTATCTTTTCTTTGCATTTATAAAGGTAGAGAACCACCGTAACCACAAGGTCCACAAAACAGAAATAATTTACAAGCGCTTTCAATTTCATTGCATTGGAGAAAGAGAGAGAGAGAGAAATGGCCTCAGAGGACTCACCCAACTCACCTCCAAATTGCTTATCCTTTGCAATAAGAGAAACAACTCATCACAAAAAGATGGCCTCATTAGACCCTTCAAACTCACCTCCAAACCACTCTTTTGCAATAAGAGAAAGTACAGCTCAATGCTTCTTGAGAAGCATCTCCACTAAAGAAACTTCCTTTGCTGGCTTCCGTTGCTCCCCACCTCGTTACAGCACTCCTACACACCACACTTCTCCTCTATCCTCACCTCTCCGCACTTTCAACCCCAATCCTTCTAACCACACCATCAGCCTTGACGCTTCCTATAAATGCCTCTCTTCAGTCCTTAAAAAAGATGGTCAGATTTTATCCATAGCCATCTCAAATGGGATCATTTACACTGGCTCTGATACGAACTTCATACGTATATGGAAGTTGCCTGAGTTTGCCGAGTGCGGAGTACTAAAGACTAAAGCATGCACGGTTGTTGCAATCGCTGTGTCCCATGAAAGACTTTTTGCAGCCTACGGTGATACCAAGATTCGGGTGTGGCAAAGAACCTGGGATGGGACGTTGAAGCATGTCAAGTTGGCAACGATCCCGAGGACCGGAGGCTATGTCCGGAACTATATTTCCGGAAAAGATAAGATGGTAATGTGCTAGTTATGACTTAATTTGTTGTATGCATTGATGGTCTTATTTGTTTTAGCAATTATAATTAGTATTGTTGTGGGGGTAACTTTGCTTGATGAAATATGGCCGAAAATGAAGGAAATGGCAATCATAGCGGTTGGTGGGAGAGGAAAACAGAGAGTCCCCTGTAGATTCAATTAATCTCAACTACTATCTAACTAAGTTAATTTCAGCATATCAGACTTGCGTCTCAAACATAAGTTTTATTCATGGAATTTGGAGTCTAGTGCACTGAATATTCCAATCTATATTTTCTTTTTGTCTATCTTACACGTAATGTGAAGGCATAACATTTAATAAGGTGGATATTGTTGAAGCATTGAAGTGGGCAAAGAAAAAAAGAACTTTAGGTTTGGGACTGACAAATGGATCCTACTATGACAATGGCTCAGTAAAGAAAAATATAAGGAGAAAAGGGATATTTCTTCACACCTTTGACATAGAATATATTATGTCTATTGATATTGGTAATATTCTTTATGACCATAATTGCACCAATCTCTGAAAATTTTTGGTTAAGTTACAGCAAATACTATTGGATTAGGCATTTCAATGTGTAATAGCAGATGAAGGGGTAGTCATAGTTCAAATCTTAGGGTAGCACACCAACCTCTTATTTAGACGGAAGAAACAGACATTATTTTTATTCTCTCACTATATAAATGCGAACAGAGGTCTGGTTGGAAATATTAAAGCTTTGTCTCAGTGAGGAGTAGCTCATATACTGCTTTCATCAGAATTTTCCCATTTTTTGTTGGGTTCATAAATAAGGAAATTTCATTTGCATGAGAATTACTGTGTCAGCTCTTGAAATGAATATTTTTCTTCTTTTTTACAGATGAGGCATATGGGGCCAATAACATCACTAGCAGTCAACATATCAGATAACATTCTATACTCAGCATCTGTTGATAAAACAGTGAAAGTGTGGAGAATATCAGACCTCAAATGCATCGAGAACATCCCTGCACATTCAGAACCAATAAATGCTATCGTTGTGGCTGACGATGGAATACTATACACTGCCTCTGATGATGCCACAATCAGAGTTTGGCGTCGAAATTTTTGTAGAGGGGAATGGCCACATTCGCTCATGGTAACCTTACCAGCCAAATGCTCACCTGTTAAAACTTTAACTCTAACTGCAGATGGGGGAGTGTTATACGGAGGGTGTACCGATGGCTATGTACATTACTGGCTTAAGGGTTGGTTGTCAGGCCAATTGCAATACGGTGGCGCCCTCCAAGGTCACACTCATGCAGTAATGTGCTTAGCCAGTGTGTCCAATTATGTGATTAGTGGTTCAGCTGATTCATCTAGCAGGGTTTGGAGTAGGGAACAAGATGGTCAACATGTTTGTCTAGCAGTTTTGGTAGGCCACAGAGGACCTATCAGATGTGTTACCGCATTTTTGGGACATTCAGGGGAGGAGGCTGAAGATGGTTGCACAATCTGCACAGGTAGTCTTGATGGAGTCCTAAAGGTATGGCGTGTAACACGTACAAAAAGTGCTAGTGGACGCTATGTCAAAAATGATTATTTTGAGTTGGACGAGGGAGTTTAAGTAATTTGTCTTCTGAGAAGTGTACAGTATAATTGTTAATCATAAGACTTAAGGAATTTTGTCTATCTAGTTTATACCAGTAATCAAAATTTTGAAGTATACTAATAAGCAATTAAGAATCCGGTTTAGTTCAGTTGGTTCTTGCAACATATTTAAGAAATGGCAGGATCCTTGATGTTTTCAGGTAACAATCTCCAGATTCCCTGATTACCAGCCAACAAGGAAAATTATTAATTTGATCTTCTTGTTGTGTATGCCCTTATTATTTATTGTTTTTTTTTTTTTTATTTGGTACAATGGTCAGGATGCAAGGTGGTGAGGACATTGAATCCTGGATCTGTATCTCCCCACCCTCTAACAATTGATGCCCTTACCTACCATGAAATGGTTGCATGATCTGCTCCATCTTTTTATCTTTACTTTTTTATTTTCTTTCACTTTTGGAAGATGGAAGGAGTTGAATACTGCATTTCTTTTCCTTTTTGGCTCTGGTTAATGGGGGAAAACCCCTGAAATCCAGAAGGAGCCATAAAACACGAGCCAATGGACCAAACCTGTGGTTCTGAACTATGCTAAAATTTCATAGGTGACACATACTATTCAATTTCTTGCTATAAATGACATGGTGTAGAAAATATTGCAGGCCATCAAAAGAAGAAAAAGGAGGCTGGTTCATTGGATAAATTCTTATGATTCATTTTTCCTTTTGATGAGTTGCTTTTGCTTTCATGGGCAGGTTTCCAATTAGGCCAAGTTCCTCAGCTTCATTGGATTTTACTAAACAGAAAAGAAAACTTTTTGTTGCCACTTAACAGTCTTTAAAACAATTTCAAAAAAATGTCTTAAAACATTTCTAGCATTAATAATTTGGTAAAACAGAAAAAGTTATCCTTAAATGCACCGTATTTAAAAAAAAAAAAACATTTGTTTTTACTTTTCAACTTCGGAAAATAGTCTTTCTGTTTTTTTTTAAATAAAAAATAAAAGTACGGAAAATGGAGCAATTATTGGACCGAGGCAAGCTGGGAAAAATAAATAAATAAATGCTAAAAAAAAGGCAATGAAAATAAGATAGAAGGAGGCGACAGGGATGAGTGGGTCCCTCTACCGTATAATGATTTGGGCTGGCTGGCACATTATTGACTGACTTCTTTGAGATTCTGAGCTTGAAACTGGCTGGCTGGCCTAGCCTGACCTGCCTCAGGTCAACTTCCAGGAAGACAGATAGAAACCTCAAACAGGAACGCCCCAGCCAGGAACCAGAAAAAGACCACCCAACCCAGTTCCCAGACAGAACACAACTGAACTAAACAAACTCGATTTACAGGTATGCCCACTTTTTCTTTTCTTGTCTGAACTGTGTTGTGTTGCTTCAAACAACTACAATGTCATGTCTTTCTCTTTGTTTTGTTTTTTTTAATTTGTTTAAGTATCTCTTTCATGTGTGTAGCTCAGATGTTTCTTGGAATTCATGATCTTTTGGGTTATTTTTGGATGGGTTCTGTTGAAAGTTGAAAAACTCGAAAACTTCTGTGTAAATTGCATGTAATCAGTTCATACTTGAGAAGATGTTGAAATTTTGACAAGTTTTTCCATTTCAAGTCGATTCTGATTATTGAGTGATAGGAAACGTTGACTCTGGTAACAAAGAGGCAGGGTTGACTCTTAGCAGAAGGGAAAAAAAGTAGCCATTGGTGGCAGTAATTCATGTCCAATCTTGAAAGCAATCAATTAAATTAACAATGATTTGTTTGTTACTCCTGTTTAACAATGGTCGATACCTCAATGGGTAGAATAGTACTGTTTTAGATCACGTTTTTGCTATGATATCCAATTGCAACTACCAATTTGTGAGCTTAAGATCAAGAAAAATATGATACTATATATGGTTATTGCTCGAGACTAAAGCATGATTTCACTTATACTGATTTACTTTTTCAAAAAGAGATTGGCAGGATGGAAACACTGGCAGTGCAAGCAGCTGGCCAAGCGGCTGGTTCACTGGTTACACCGGCAGTGGAAGGTGGAAAGGGTATATTTAACTGTTTGAAGCTCAAATATGGCTATGTGAAGAAAATAAAAGAGAATATGGCCAAGCTTGAGAAGGAGGAATTATATCTGCGTAATGAAGATGAAGATGTTAAAATAACGCTGGATAGGAACAAATTGACAAAAGAAAAGACAAACAGATGTGAAACCTGGCTCAATGAGGTGGACAAAATGAGACAGGAGATTGAAAGACTAAAGGTTGAGTACAAAAATACCAGCACATACTTGTGTGGACTATGTCCATTTCCTGGTTTGCTGAAGCTAGGCAAGCGTATTGTAAAGAAGACAGCAGCGGTAGTTGAGCTGAGGAATCAGCTAGCCCAAATAACTAAAATGCATGAGAAGCCACCAGCACCACCTATTCCTGTTATAGAGAAGCATGCTCGGAAAAAAAGTGACGTGCCATCATTTGATTCGTGTGTAGAAACACTGGTTGAGTGGCTAGAGGATGAGCAATTGAAAAGAATCTGCATTTGGGGACCTCCAGGAGTGGGAAAGACTACGATAATGGAAATTTTGCATAACACGGTGGGTGCATCTGGTAAATTTGACATTATCTTTTGGGTGACTTTAACAAAAGAAGGCGGAATAAGAGACATTCAAGATGAAATTTGGAAGCGTTTAGACACGAGAGTGGATTGCAACTATGGGGCTAACCAAAGGGCAAACATGATATCTAAAGAGCTAAAGGACAAGAGCTATGTGCTGTTTCTTGATCTTGATGACGTCTTCTCAGAGATTAATCTTAGAGAAGCTGGTATTCATGATGAACATGAGCATGGAAAGGTGGTGTTTGCATGCAGATACAAAAACAACAATATCTGTGGTGACACAGATGAAGAGATGAATGTGCAGAGGTTATCCAATGAGGATGCAGAAAACTTTTTTTGGAAAGTGGTTGGTTCTCATCTTAAGAGTAATCCAGATATCAAGCCAGTTGCAAAACTCATTATCAATGAATGTGGTGGCATGCCGCACATGATCAAGTTAATAGGCAATAGATTGGCAAGGGTGGATGACCCTGCGATATGGCGGGATATGTTGTCCCAATTAAGATCCCCGACTATGGAACCGCAAGAACAACTGGAAGAAGTTTACAAGGCTTTCAAACTTGTCTATGAAAGACTATCTGAAGAGATGAAGCCTTGTTTGCTGTATTGGGCTGTTTTTCCTGCTGGTTATGAAATTTTTCGAGATCATATAATTGATTGCTGGAGAGCAGAACAGTTCCTTTCAAGCCTAAGAAAGCTTCCAAGGACACGTGACAGGGGGCATGCCATATTAGATGAATTTGTGAGAAAGTCCTTACTTGAAAAGGGAAGAAAGTGGGGGCATTTCAAGATGTATGAGTATTTTCAACGGGTGGCATTAAGGATTGCAAATCTCAAAGAGAATTCACATGTTTTTGTTACCGAGGATGAAAACATTATACTGGAAGAGTGGGAACGTGCAAGGAGAGTCTCACTCTTTCGGACTTGCCTATCCACTCTACCAAGAAGACCCCAATGTTGTGGGATCTTAACATTGTTACTACAGGACAGTAGCTTGACTGAATTTCCGAGGGAATTCTTTGGCTATATGTGTGGTCTTCAAGTTCTGAACTTGTATCAAACAAGAATCACTGCACTTCCATCATCTATCTGCAGCTTAATAAATCTGAAAGGGCTCTTTTTTAACTACTGTAGTCAGTTAGTACAGCTTCCTTCTCAGATAGGAGATCTCCAGAACCTCGAAATCCTTGATATACGTCACACCGGTCTCTATAGTTTGCCCATTGAGATTGGACAATTGGCTAATCTAAAATGCTTGAGAGTTTCTTTCACAGAACATGTTGGTAACCACAACCATGTTGAAGAAATGAAGCCGATGATTCCTTCTAATGTGATTGCAAGGCTTTCTAAGTTAGAAGAACTGAGCATTGGTGTGAGCCATAGTAGCAGCAGATATCAAAATGCAACTGAAATTGCTCATGAAATTTCTGAGTTGGAAGAGTTAACAACTCTTTATTTCTTCTTCCCTGAGATGGAGTCTTTCAAAGCTTTCATCCAGAATAGCAAATCATGGAAAGGAAATGATACACCTTCAGCTGGCAATAACTTCAGATCATTCAGCATCGTTGTTGGTTGTCAGAGAAACAGTTCTGCATCTGAATTTAGAGTCTTTGAATGCTCAGCAGAAAAGCACCTGAGGTTTTCTGAGGGAGACGGATTTCCTGATTCTATTTCACAGGTACTAAGGCAAGCAAAAGCTTTTGAACTGATTGGTCACCAAACTGCTACCAGTTTATCCGTCTTCCGTTCTGATTACTTACAAGGTTTGGAAGCATGTATCATTGAGGAATGTAATGAGATGGAGAGCATCATAGACAGAGGCAGTTTCCAAGTCAATGACAGCACAGGTGTTGAATTTGAATGCTTGAAAAGCCTACACATATACAATCTACCAAAATTGAAGGATATCTGGCAAGGATCAATAGAATCTAAAAGCCTCTGTGGCCTCACAACTCTCACATTAAAAGGATGCCATAGCATTAGAATGCTTTTTCCACATGGGATGATCATTCGACTCTCTCAGTTACAAAAGCTGCAGGTGGAGGACTGCTGCATCATGAAAGAGATTATTGAAGATCGAAATATAGTCGAATCCCACACCCTTCCCAAGTTGAAAATTTTGCAGCTCCGTGACTTGCCAGAACTATGCTTCATTTCTCATGTCTCTTTACAATGGCCCTCTTTGGAGACAATATTGATTAAGGCATGCATGAAGATGAGAAATTTACCACTTACAATTAAAAATGCATCCAAACTGAGAATAATTCAGTGCACAAAAGATTGGTGGGACCAACAGGATTCAAATAACACTACTAAAGATGATTTGAGAAAGTTTCTCAGTTTCATATGAGTGTGTGAATCAAGAGAGGATATTAGTCTAATCAGACCATATCCTTTTTGTTACATTGAAGGTAATTTAAGCTGGCATTCAATGCACAGCACTGGAATTTTCTAGCTTAGTTAGTTGGCTCATGTTATAGGTGAGACAATGTGCGAAATGGCATGTAATTATGTGTTCCCTCTCAGAACATTCTCTTGCATGACTAACGCCCTTCAAGCTTTTTTCATACATAAGGAGATTCAGCAGGCCTTCGTCTAAGGACATAGCTCTTTCCTATTTCATGATCATGCTCCTACAGTTGCAAGATTCAAACACCAGACTTTCAAGTTGAGATTTCCAGTTTTAGCCATTTGATGTTGGATGTCCTTAGAATAGGAGTACCCTTCAGTTTGCAGAAGAATGTTAATGTCATGTTTTTCCTTTGTCTTAGCTGGTTACGTTGCTGTGCTTCTTTGTCGAGTTGAAGACTCTATAAATGAAGAAAGGATGTGTGTGCCAATGCGGCAATGTCTCCAATGGCAAGGACCTTGAATCCTTTTTAGTTCATGTCTGGTTTTGATCTACATTTATGTTGTATTTTCTCAAGTTATAAGATGGTTATTCTGTTTGTTTATTGTTTCTTATACAAGATGTTCTAGCTATAATGCTATGTTCTATATACGTGGAGACTTAATTTGATTGTGATTGTAATTACCAATTGTAAATTAACAGTTGAATTATTACAAAATTTGGGCATTTCAAGGAATAAGAATTTACAAGACAGAAGTAATCCCAAATGAAGTGTGAATGTTCTTGAAAAGAACGTTCCTCGAAGTGAGTTGATCAAAATTTACACCAAACTATAGATGAAAACCAAATAATCAGAGAGATTGAGAAATTTCCCGTAACAAGGTCTTCCAAGCCTAGATTCAAGCTTCAACATGTCTGTTACTATCGAATTTTCCAAAGTCTCGAGTGATGAACACATCATTGACACTATCTCCTCTCACATACCATCCCCAAAAAACTGGAGTAAAAAGGTGTTCGAAATCCATGCTTATATCAGGAAATGATCAGGTGAATATTTTTTTTGCCATCATTCTGGCAAGGTGAAGACGTGCCTCAACAGCAACAAATGCAGGTAGTGCTCTGACATATGAAATTTTAGCTTTATGATTTGATCTTCAAATTCCCTTCAGCGTGGATACAGGAGAATATAGTGGAAGGGGATTCGGTTCAAGCAATTCTTAAAGTGCAGAAAGATGATTCAAACATGATGGATTGTGAAATAGTACTGGAAGACATGAAAGAATTACCCGCTGAATTTGTTCTTTTCAGCATGCTTTCCATGAAGCTAATACAGTGGCTGACAATACTGCTAGTTTAGAGTATATTTTGTATCAGATGCAGATGGTACCCAAGTTGATGTTACATCATTTCATTTCCATTTAATGAAAGTGTTTCGATTCTCAAAATCAAAAACATACATTGCAAAATTTGGAATACCATGGAGAGAGGCAGTGAGAAGTTGGAACTTGGATTGATCACAAAGCTCATAACTCAAGCTTGGTTTGATTCTTATTTTATGTACTCAAGTTCGACTCGACAAAATAATCTAGCTACTTGAATAAGAGTTCAAAAACTGATAGATAAAGCATGAGTTCAAGAGGTTAATCTCTACTATGAAGGGGAAATCTTTCTGAACTCCTCCTATCAAGCTTGCGTGCAAGGATGCATTCAAACAAGTTCGAGTCATCTGCAGCAACAAGTTGTAGCATGCTTTTCCTCTTATTTAGATATTGAAATAAGAATTTTATTATCCATTAAAAAAAATTCTTTCAGTTTCACCGTTGTTGAGATTTGAGAGTGAATATCTAGTAAGAATTGAGATGACTTTGCAGAGATTGAGGATAAGGAGGGAATTTTGAGAATTAGGGTTTCTGCAAAACGGGACCAAATTGCCATAGCAAATTTTGTTAAGAAAAAAAAAATACAGTAATTGCTCTGTCAAGCTTTTTAACAAAGAGATTATGCAGAAGCTTCAACAAACATAATTTCTTGCTTTATGCAGGTGAATTAGAGAACATAGAGTTGGTTTACTCGCCGATAATAACCAGATACATCATTCAAAAGGAAAAAGGAAAAAAAAAAAAACAAGGCTAGATCCTATAATCACCACATCCAAGGACTCAAAGCCAGATACAGGTAAAGAGGCTTGGATCTTGAAAGAGAAGCAGAAGGAACCTAAGAAGCACTCAGGATAAAAAGACATGCGCGAGAATTGATAAAGCTAAAATCATGGCGACCATGGAATAAAGCGTGCAGAATCTTGAAGTCTTGGAGTTATCTCCTATCACCAACGCCGTGAAAGAACCGGTGAAAGTAAATACGACAGATATTACCAGGGCATAGAAGGCCGATGACTGTCCCTCGAAGAGTCGTGGAACTGTATTTCCTCCTATATTTTTACGGGGAATCAGGGAAAGGATGATGCCGATGACGGAGGAGAGATACAAATTATTTCTAGCCACGGAGAGATCGACGGCGAAGGCGAACAGTCGTTCTATCTTCTTTCTGAAAATCAGCTCCATCTTGAATCTGAAAATGAATTGAAACAAAGCGTTACAAAGTTATAAATCGATCAAAGGCAAAAAATTATATAATATCAACGGTGCCAATCTTATTCAAATAAAAAATGAAGAGGAGTCCACCACCAACATCACCACGCGTTTTTGGTAAAAAAAAATCTAAAAAGATAAATTAGGGTTTCAAAGTTTAGCGTATTTTGTTTTCCCTATCTTTCTAAAATCTAAATTCGAACCTGCATCTCTGAAATCGCTCCTTTTTCACAAACAATTATGGCTGAGAACAATACCGATACCAGTCAACCTGATATTGATTTTGCTAAGTTCCTTACTTTGCTTCCCAGTGCTCTTCCAGATCACCTCCATTATCTGATTCGTGATGAACTTGATGTGATTCATAAGATCTTTCGCGATTTACCACCTCATTGGCGTGGTGTCTTCATTGATATCCTTTCTGGGAAGGCGTCTAAGTTTCGTGATTATCTCCTTCTTGCGAAATCCTATGGATGCCCTGTTAATTCAGTGCTTCAATTATTCGCTGAACTACGTATGTTCCATATGACGGCTAAAATGGAAGGTACTCAGATTTTTTTTTTTTAATTTCTTTCGAAGCAGTAAATACAATATGACTTATTTTATGAAAGCTTTAGATGTATTTAGATGTTTTCTGTTAAAAATGAAAAAATTGATAGTATTGAGATTTTAAAAAATCTGAATTAATTAAATTTGATATGAATCAATGAAAAGTGTCTTTTTTTCTTTTATTTTTTAAAATATGTTCAATATCACCAATTTTAGATTTGCTAACTTCACTTCTTCAAACTCCTCAAGGAGTTAGGATTTATTTATTTCCATGGGATTCTCTTGTTTTTAATTTTCCCTTTTGATACCAGAAAAGTTATAATGCCTATCTTCTGGTCCAACTCCAAGAAAATGCTTCAACTCATTGAACTGTTTGATTTGGAAGCGTGCAGACAAGTTCTTTCTGATTTGACAAATCTCTTTATAAACACATGAAACTAGAAACTCACTAACTTTTGCAATACCATGCTCTTGATACTTGCTTTAGAATATACAATGCTTTCTTTAACTTGCAAGCATAGTTAGAATGACTTTTGCTTTCAAATGATTAAATCAGATACATTTGCTTGAGTCCGGAGGAGTATAATAAATTTTCATTAAGGTTTTTAGCTTGAGTCAGACTAATACATTTGCTTGAAAACAAACTTTGAGCTTTATGCTCTTTTAACCTTTTTGGCTTGAAGCAAGATTAATGATAATTTTATTGTATATGTTTCCTATATAGCTATCTTGGGACATCCTTTGGTCACCCTTGCCCAAAATTATGGAAATCCTAATAATGGCACTGGTAAAACTGGGCTTCTGTATGCATGGTTAGCGCCATCAAAGGCTGCTTCAATTCTCCATTTGCAAAATGTGGCCTTTGGATTACATGGTATGGAAACCCAATCCCAAGTCTGATTTTGCTCCAAAGCTTGAATTTCTTCATTCATTGCTTATCTCCAGTTGATATCTTGTGATGCTTCCTTATAACTTGGTGGCTCTTTTGATTAATTCATCTTCTGCTTCCAATTCCACATTGGCATAGCTTGCTTTCGTTTTTGGTTGAGAGGCTTCTTTGCTAAACTTCTGTCATGTCAAAAATCAAAGTTTTCGTTTGTGAATAGTTTAAAATGCGATGCATATTATATCAGATAAAAATATTTAATTATTAGTGAATAAATTTAAGTTTTGTATTAATTTTATTCATATTTTGAATAAGTATTTTTGAACAAAAATAATTATTATATGATAAATTATCATAACTATTTAAATATAAATAAAAGATTATTCATATAAATCATGATTATACAATTGATCATAACCATTTGAATAGAAATTTATATCTATTCATTCATTATAAATAGATCATTTAATATAATTATTTTCATTATTTATGATTGGAGAATTTAAAACTTTATTGTATCCTAAAGATATAATTACCTTTAAAAAAGTGTTCTTCACACTTCAAAATCAAAATTCTTTTTTATTATTTCTATATCTTTACTTATTTTTCTAACATCATCAACTTCAATAAATTCATCCCTAGCAAATGATGCCTCAGCATCTTATTCATCTTCACTCTGATTAATTGCAGCACTTTCAATAAGCCCAGCCTTGCAAATGATGTCTCAATGTCTCATTGTTGGACAGATTTCTCCTCGAATCTGCAGTCTTTTGCATAATGCCCCTTTTTGCCATAATTTAAGCATTCACCACTTCGATGCTTGATGCTTTTAGGGTATTTACATTTTTCATCTAGCTGCCTTGAACTCCCCTTGCGTGAGAGTTTTTATGTTGCTGCCACTTTGATCTTCCACCCTTTTCTTTATTTTTTCCCGCATGCTGCCCTTGTTATCTACTACTCTTTTGCTGTGAACAAGTGCTTCCTCTTCGTTTTTGAGTCACTTTAATATAGACAAGATTTATTTCATCTGTACCTTCTTCTCTAAGTCCTAGACAATGCTTCAAGTCATTGAACTGTTTGATTTGGAAGCGTGCAGACAAGTTCTTTCTGATATGACAAACCTCTTCATAAACACATGGAACTAGAAACTCACCAACTTTTGCAATACCATGCTCTTGATACTTGCTTTAGAATATACAATGCTTTCTTTAACTTGCAAGCATGGTTAGAATGACTTTTGCTTTCAAATGATTAAATCAGATACATTTGCTTGAGTCAGGAGGAGTATAATACATTTTCATTAAGGTTTTTAGCTTGACTCTGACCAATACATTTGCTTGAAAACAAACTTTGAGCTTTAGGCCCCTTTAATCTTTTTGGCTTGAACTAAGAATAATGATGATTTTATTGTATATGCTTCCTGTATAGATATGCCGAGATGCACTCGTGCCATCCTTGCTGAAAACTATGGAAATCCTAATAATGGCACTGGTAGTACTGGGTTTCAGCGTCAAAGGTCAGGGCCATCAAATGGTTCTCTGGTTCATCATGATACAGCAGGCCTTCATGGTAATACTGCCGGTACAGATGTGGCAATCTCGGCTGCTGGGCATGGTACACCACCTTACCATGATAACAATACTGTCGGTACAGATTTGGCAATCTCTGTTGCTGGGCATCGGAGTGTTCTTAAACCCTCACATGCCACGGTTCTTGATGATATAACCAATCTGATGAAAGAAATCTTTGCCTCCTTGAACGGCAATCCTCAGCTTGCCAGAGATTACCCAAAATGGTTTACGACTTTACTTGGAATCAATGGTGGTGTAATCATTACCCTGATTTCCAAGTCGACCAGCAACAACCCCCAATCACTTTCTACTGAAATCATGGAATCTTTTACTGCATTATCTGCAGTTGTTGGATTCTCTGCTAGCTTAGCAGGACTGTACCTTATTACCAATAAGCCACAGACATTACCATTTAGCTGCGACTCTGAAATTGCCACCCGAAAGGTGGGAATTGTGGGTGGCATTGCTACTGCCTTTGCGTTTATAGCAGGCGTTCTCTTGCTCCTGCCAAATAACCCATTCAGATGGATCACAATGGGCCTGGCTGCTGCATTACTCTTAATCCCATTCCTCATCAGGTTTTTGGGTTAATTCTCAGGAGAATATGCATGTTGGCTGGGTTCTTCTTAAATATGAGTAGTAATCAGTAGCGACTGGAATGGTTGGGTTTTTTTTTTTTTTTTCATCTAGACTTAATTTGAATTAAGTCTCTTGTACTAGGGCTTTGCCCTCTCGGTGTAACAAAGAAATTGTATTTTGTTGATGAAACAAGACCTGAAATATCATGATAAGATATCAAAATGAATTTGATTCATATAGAATTTATTTAAGGTTGCCTATAAAATTTAACAAGGGCCTGCTTGCGATGATACATAGGCTAGAATCGACACAGTTGGTGACATGGAAGCGGGCTTATTTCTTGCAACAGAGACATAGACGGGTAAAGAAAAGAAAAGTTCGTCATTTCTGAAAATTGAAGAACGGAAACTTGAGATTTTAGAACAATTAAAATAATCAATAGTTTCTTAGGATATGAACGAACAAAACTTTCAACAAATTATTTGTGCATATGTTCGTATTTATTTGTTTATATTGGGTTATTAAATTTAACAAATAATTTTTAAAAATATTATTATATTTATTTATTAAATGAATCAAATACAAAAAAAAATTATTTTGTTCATTTATATTTATAAATAAATTCATTTAAAATTTATTTAAAATTCATTCGTTTATTATTTATTTATTGTTTATTTATTATTTATAAATAAATTTGTTTATTATTTAAAAAAGTGGAAGGTGGACTCCTCTATTACAGAATGGAGTCATATTAGACCCAGTGTCTCAGCCCAAATTACTGGACCCAGTGTCTCCTCTAATGGTCTACTTTCTCGTCTAAACTCTTGTTCCCTCTTCCCAATTCAGCATTTCTTTCACTCTCCACAGCCGACGATAGCCTCGCAACATCAAGGTTGGTCACTTTGTATATCTCTCCCTTTCTTTCTCTTCCATTACTCTATTTTAATTCATATATCTCTGTTCAAGGCCTTACCGCTTCGTTGGCGGCGATGTTATCCAATTTTCTTCAACTTATTTATTTGTTTTTAACTTGTGTTTTTTGAATTTATGATATTGTGTCTGTTTGAATTGAATGAATTGGATTAGTTGATTTTTTATTTGGGTTTTCTTTTGAAACAAAATTTTAGCTTCTTGTAGTGAAATTTTTTATCCGCATAGTGAGCAAATAGATGGTAAATAAACTTATAGAACTTGTGTGTACTTTGAAAACTTAATCTTTGAATAAGGGTCTGGGTGTAATTCATTTGTTATATCTGCAATGTTCTTTAGCAAAAATGGTTTAAGCAAGTAATTAGTTGGGGATTTGTTTTTGTATTTGAAATGCAGATGGCATTGAGAGGAGTTTGGCAACTTAAAAAGCTGATTGTAAGCTATTGTGATTGGGGAGGGAGTAGTAGGGGAATCAGGTATGATTTTAACCATTCACTAGTCAAAGAATTGTTATTGGATGAATGAATTTTCTAATGACTTCATGATACAATACTGGGTTGCCTTGGCCTTTTCATTTCTTTTCTTGTCTGGAGAGATGACTTGATTGATTCTTTATAGAAGGTAAAAATAGCAAATCTAACACTTGCACAAGTGTTTGAACATGTACTGTTTGAAATTTCTTTACTAAAGAGTAATGATCATTTTTATTGACCAAAAGAATAAGTTGAAGTGGAATATGGCTAGCTAGTCCCACAGTTTGAAGGATCTTGGTTAGTTTTGAAGTAAATCAGTGAAAGCAGCACGGTATAATGTTAATATACATGAACATCTTTTCCGCCTAAAATTTTCTGCAAATTTTGAGATGGTTTATGCATATATTGAGAGTTTAAAAGTTCTTATTCAATGAGAGAGGTTTAAGTGTGTGTCCAACTTATCTCTTCACTTTTAAGTGAACTACCATCAGGTCGAACCTGGTGAATGATGGGATTATTTGCTAATGAATCCAATTTGCCCAAATATTACCTGAGAAATTTTCAGTTTTTCCACTTTGAGGTCAGTCTTGTTAGCAATCCTTAAAAGACCCAAGATTACATAAGATTGTCCAGCATTACAAGTTTTGCCTTAATATCTTTGCTCAAGTTTTATTTTCTAATAATATTGTATTATATCCTTTGCGCATAGATTTGTCAATTGTTTCTTATGAATTATTGCTAGTTGTATGCTAATGAAAAACAAACTAGAGAAGCTACTTGTTGCAAGGATCTTCATGTTGTGTCATGTAGAGTGTAATAAATTAGCGTTAACCTACAAGCCATTTGCCCCAAACTCAACTTTCGAGTAACATAAATGACAAGGCCGTAGGATGGTTTCCCTAAATTTTGGTTGTTGAACTCATATGATTGGGTAGTCTCAAGATCAAGCTTTATGATTAATAATAATGAGAAGCATGTACGAATAACAGATATGGATTCTTCTTTAAATGGCAGCTGAATTCTTTAAACTCAATATCAATTTCATGCTAAGATGTTTGGCATTATTATGTCAGGACATTTATGGAGTCGCAGTTACCAACATTCAAAGAGAAAAATCCTCAGCTGGAGGTAGTTACCGAACTCATCCGTGGACAACATCCGCATTTGAAGGGCTTTTACAGTAAGTTACTCTTACTTTCTTGGATGAGTATTTCAGACATAAATGCATTCCAACGAACGCTTCTCTGAACATGCATGTTTTCTCCGAAAGCACTTCATTGATTTAAAGCATGTCTCATGCCAATTTCTCAGAGAACAAAAACGAGCGGGTGATATGTGTGAAGAATATGACTCCAGAAGATATCCTTCTTCATGCAACCAGGCTGAGGAATGCTTTGGGAAGAAAGGTGGTGAAATTGAAGACAAGGCATGTAACCAAACACCCTAGTGTGCAAGGTACATGGACAACTGATGTGAAATTTTGAGACACAATAGTACTAGTTCAAAATTGCCAGTATGCATCTTTTGTTGTTCTATTTAGCCAAGGTGGCAGCTTCATGAACTATTCGCTCTTTGGATGTAAATGAAACTGCTCGGTCATGCACCAGTCTAATGATGTTTGAATCATTAAACATGAATTGAAAACTGTTTTGATAACTGTCTATGCATGTGTGATGAGATTGAAAGCATGGTAATAGATGTTTGGACCTAAGCTTTTTTTTATTGTCCTACTCAACGTATTCCCATTTCTTCACGCTGCTCAACTGATGACTTATAAAAGTGATTGCCAAATGCACTCTTCATTTACAAAATTAAATCCAAAATTTATGTCATATCTTATTGCCAAATGCACTCCTTAAAACTGTCTTTCAAAGGCCTTCGCAGTGGACTGAACATGATTTAGTTTAAGATTCTTTCTTGAAAATATTTAGTTTCAGTCTTGGAGAGGACAAGATGAGATTTATGAGATAGAGTTTCAAATGGTAAAGGATTTCAGGAATGTATCCTATTTTGCCACACCTAGAGATTGGCAAGCATAAATCCTGTGCTTCAAAATCACTTAAAAGACAGCTATATATCTTAAATATCATCCAAATCTTCATAAACTTAAAGCTTTTTACCCAAAGTGTAAACAGCAGTTCAAATTTTATAACTTTCTGCTACTCTAACCATGCATTCAGGCAACCTCTCAAAGACTGCATCAGCAAATAATACAACCATATAACCGTCATGGGTTTTAAGCACCTAAGCAAAGTGGCATTTAGTATTTCACCATCGGCTCATTCTGGCCATCAATACCAAGGGTTCAAAAGCCCTAAGCTACATAGAAATGCGCATACACGGACACATGCTTTTATGTATACTTATATTTCTGCTGAGCTCAAAATTTTAACTCCCTCAACCCCCTCCCCAGTTCCCTCTTTCCTAGGAAAAAATGGGAAAAAGAAATTAAAGAAGAGGCCAGCAAAGCCAAAATCAAACAGAACAAATGAATGTTAACAGATCAAGACGGGTGACTGCAAGGTATCCAGGTTAAAATAGTTTTGATTGCTAGAGGGTAAAACTACACTTGTCATTTAGCCTCAGCCGCATTAGTTGCCTCAGCTGCCTTTTTTTCTTTTTGTTTCTCCCTCTTCTTCTTGTTTCTGAGGGCATTCTTGCTCATTTCTCTATATTAACATGGAACACTTGTGAGCACCCGAAAGTGCAAAAATCAAAACTGTATAGACGTAGGACAAAATTATATTAAAGCGAACTCACCCTGTAGTACTCCCTCCGAACAACTGGAATTACAAAATCATTAAGATAGTCAGGGCCACATACAGCAATTAAATTTACAGGAATGTAATCATACTAATGCAATCATAAGCTAGTAGAATGAGAGGAAGACTCAGATGTGCACAGTGTTATAGAATCCATAAAATATTCCTTTGCAGTATGACTCTGTAAGTAATAGTCTGCTAGTAGGAATGATGCAGTATCCCTTATTTTTTGCAAAATCCATACCCTACTACCTTCCATAATTGCAACTGGATCTTCAGTGATAGAGTCCATTAAAAAGGTGTACTTCCAAAATTGATCTTTAATAGCTGTCTTTTTTACTACTTAGTAAACTCTTATCTGTTTCTTGTTTATGAGTTGCATTTTGGTCAAATCATCACTGTAAGATACCCCATAGTTGTCAGAGAATACCTCTGCCTGAACTGCAGCTGCATTCTTAGCATGCGGAGGGCGATAAGCAGCAGGTTTCTGTGCTGGAGGGTTCACAGATGCAGGTTTTTTAGAGGTTGACCCTTGTCCTGGAAAATGATTAACAATGTTAACACATCTACAAATGAGAATTTGATAATCAAAGTTGTTTTAGATATAGAAGAAATAGAACCTTGTGATTTGGATTCTTCAACCTTCATGGAATCAATGGACTTAGTAAGTTCAGCAATTGGACCGAACTTATGTGGTGACTCTGGTTTCCAATCAGCCTGCATGAACAATAAACAACAGATCAAGTAAGGAAAAGTGCATATGAAGCCACTTCACAAAAAGAGCACTAACTAATCACAATACTCACCTGGAACAACTTGTCAAACATCTTCTTAAAGAACAACGATCCATTGTGGTGAAAAATTTTAACGCTTCAATAATAACAGAATCAGAAATTCATAAATGAACTATCCGGCAAATAATGGTTACTCTTGGTAATGGTCAAACAGTAAATATGATATCAACTATAGGCATATTAAAGAGAGACAAAAGAAGATAGATAATTGTTTTCATATCAAACAGGGAGAGAGAACAGTATGGGATGTTTGTACATTTTCCCTTAACAATAATATCTCCATAGTTGTTGACATGCCAAGGTTTAACTAGTCTCTTTATTGTTTAAAAGAGACAAACTGAATCTCTAACTCAGCCAGAGACCAACTCAGCTCAGCAACCAGCTCCATATAGGAGTAATTCTTATATAGCTTCCTACAAGGTCAAAATAGAACTCTACCAGTTCTATAACACCATGCACTATATAAATGTTCAGTTTTTGAGGTAAGTTTATGATTGAGCTCATTTTGAGCAACGCAAAATTTATTAACCACCGCTTAAATCATTTCTGCCACAAACTAAATAAAATTAGAACATGGTTTTGATTTAAGAATTGTCATCTAAATCTAAAGTAATGCATTAAAAAGGTCTTTAGATCAAAAGCATACAAATTCATAGCAATGGAAAGAAGCTTCTCTTTTCCAATGCTTTGTGACAAGAACAAGGTAATAAACAATTTAATGCATCAAAAGAATTAAAATCAAGTACACCATGTAGTTAGAACATATTGTTAGAAGTAACTATTATGGTGACTTGTAAATTGCAAAACTCCTCTGTACCCTGTAAATCTTCATTATAAGAAAACATCAATAATTAACATACCAATTGTCAACTTGGAGTCTGGGAGCTGTTGTGGCAGTCATGAAATAGCATCCATCAGCAGACCACTCACTCGTTACAGAACATTCAGCCCTAGTTGTTCCAAGCTGCTTTTTATCTAGAAAGTCCCAGAATGCCTGAAGTGTAAAATTAAACATAAATTAGCTGCATTAAGAATGTGGGAGGCAGAGGATTCATTGAGAAGAGGCCTAATGAAGAAACATGAAAAAACCAAAACCCAAACGATTCTCCCCCACATTAGGAGGGAAATAAAAACAAAAAGACTGAATCTATCTCCAAGGGAAAAAAAAAGTGGAGAATATAAATAACATTTATTCCCCTAAGGACCCAAAATCTCAATCTAACAAAGTAGATATGAGCTAGTGACACAAGATCACCCTCCAAGAAAAAAGGTGAACTGACTCCTGAGAAACAAATTCATGATCTAACCAGACACCAAGCTTGACTCCTTACAGTTAATTACTATCAACATAAGGATTAAAAGAAACCCCTGCTGGTGAAAGACATCAGCAAAAAGAAGAGAAATATAAAGACTAGAGAAATCATAGACTTAAGGCTACAAATATGTATAGTCAAAACCAGACATCAGCAAATAAGCAAATAACATGCATACTTACCATATCACCAGGCAAGTTACCAAAACCAGCCAAACACAGAACTGTATATCATAGACTTAAGGCTACAAATATATATAGTCAAAAGCAAAATGATAAGTTGATTAAAGTTCATTAGACTAACTACACAGCAAGAAAACCATAGAAATTATTTACAAAAGGATACATTTCCCCTTTGGATTCCATCGAATGGTATTGTAAGGACCAGATCCCAGCTCAAGTAATGGTTTGCACTTCTTGTCAAATACTGTTGCACTTGCAGGCATAACTGAAATTACGTTAAGAGGAAGCACAATCATCACAGAAATAGTTGCAGGAAGGATTAATAGTTAATGAAGTGAAAGGTTAACCCTTTGCTACCCTACTCTTTATATTGGTACCCTTGTTTGACACATCTGACACATCACAATTGGTGCATTGAGGACATATGACACTAAATATGAGGAAAAACTTGCAAAAGATTGAACATATCCAATTTGGGTGCATAATAAGGTCCCAATAGGACCCAAATCTGGAGCAACATCAGCTGGATCAAACAGTACCCTCTTTGACAAATTTTCCCAAAGAACTGACACAAAGACCTTAGAAACGTTAGAGAAAAGCTTCTTGACTATTTGTATGTAATGCATTAGAGGATGTACTCAAGGAGGAGCCTCCTTCGATGGATCAAAAGTGCATGCAATTATCACTCCAAATCCCATTACTTAAAAGAGTTTCATAAATAAACTTGCCAAATCTGGTCCAGTTAAAATCAAAATCCAATCACCCCAAGCGAGTGTTAAACACCCTGCCAAGTGCCAAGTTTTTTAAGATGCAGAAAAGGATACATCCATAAACAACAGCAAACTCTTTCCCAGAAAATGACCACTGAACATCATGAATAGGCCCCTCCTTACCTGCCAATATTCGTTATACAGTCAGTAAATTGTACATGATAAAGAAGCAAAAATTATTACGTTGCTTTCTGACTAAAAGAAAAAAAGCAGCAAAAGTTTTAAGCAAGAATGTACAAAGAGGCACAAGTCCTTCATGGGTCCCATCAGTTGTAAGGTAGTTCAGTTTTGATTCTCCATAATAGCTCTGGTTAGTCTTATCAACATCAGATTGCACCACAACTAGAAGTCCTGTTGAACCATGATTCCAATTTAACTGCACTGTAGAACATCGAAAAAAGCTTCGTCGGGCAAGAGGTTGACTCTGCAACTCTTTCCCAGAGGCATATATCTGGACACTAGCTGGACTCCCCTACAAAATGCAAAACCAAACCCAAATGTATTGTAAGTGTAAAAAGCTAGGCCCTCATCTCAAGTACTTCCACAGCTTTAAGGCTCTTTATATGTGGACTTCCTACTTACTATCTCTTGAAGACATGATTCCTACAAGCTGAATTGCTCCCCTCTTGTCAGTTATCAGTATCTAACATCCCCAGTATGACTCCTATGCTGTTTTTATTAGTTGACCTTTGATACTTCTTGATAGATAGTTGTTTTTCCTAATTTTGCAATTAAATTTGACAAAGTTTCATTCAGGAGACCCAAAGCACATGCTAATTTCCAGTGCTAGAGATAATATTCTTTTTTTTTTTGGCAAATAAGATAAATACTCCTAAGAAGTCAATTAGAACACAAGTCCAGATTTTACTTAAGTTTCACATAATCAAATACCCCGTTCCCATCAAATCAAATCATATAGTATTTATTATAAACTTTTAATTAACTTTGACCTGTTCCCTTTCTGCTACAATTGAAGCAGATTGAAGTTCAACTTCAAGACACAGCATGTTAACAGAATAATTGTGGAAATTATTAATCCAGTATAGGGTGATACCAATCCCGCACACTTCTTAGGATCTTTATTTTCTTAATAAGAAACCAGCAGAAGCCAAGGGATACCAACCTTAGATTCTGGAACAAATGCTGCCACATGGGACCCAGGAGCCTTGGAAAGCTCAACTGCAGCCACCCCGGGAATTCTCAGCCTATGAGAAATTCCTTTAGAGAAATCTGCAGCATCAAAAAACTGTATTTCATTTGTAGCGAGCCGGCATGCAACAGCTTCATCAGAACTGAACTGGACTGAGGGCCTGGGGCAGATTTAAAAGCAAGCTAAATATCAATTCAAAGATACACATGCCAGCAAACAAGACATAGGGAGACAGAAGATGCAAAAAAGAAGGATTTTAATGCCCCAAGTTGGCATCATTCGTAAACTGTTAGGCAAATATCCAGACTTAACAATTTAAAAAATACATGAATACTGTTATAACACAACAAATAATGCGTGCAACCATAAATATGCATGCCTATATATTGTACCATGTGGCTTTTGTCATGTTTTTCTGCAATTGCTGGTAAACAGGATCACCAGTCTCTATGTTCCACAAAACCACATTTTTTTCCTGGGGTGTAGTAGACTTCTGAAAGGTCTGAAGATAAGTTCCACGTGGGGACAAGGCAGAAGCAGCAACATTGGGGATTTGAAAACATCTAATCTCTTTCAAAGTGCTGGAGTCATAAACACTAATAGCAGCATCAGCTTTCGTAACCACAAGCCTCGAACCATCCTCACTAAACTTGGCACTAGTGCAAGGAACTTTTTCAAGCTTAATCCCAGGTTGATTATTGTTGTTGAATGGAGGCCCATTCCAGATAGAATATCCCGCCGGTTCTCGAACTACATTAAAGTTGAAAAAATGAGAAAAAATAACAAATTACATGGAGCTGAATTCTAAAAAGAGACATGATTATGACTATTAAGTACCTAAAATCTCCAAAGCTGGTGAAGTTTCCATTGCTGCAGCCATTGGAGGCTTAGAGAATTATAACTGCAAAACCCATGTTAGGTACAATTCAGGCACTAACATTTTTCATAGCAACTGAACTTCATTTTGAATTTACAACAAGAAGATAAAGATATATGCATATTAACTACATTATTATTACTTGAAACAAAATAAAAAATCAATCTTTCAATCAAGTTTGACGAAAATGGGAGGAAAAAAAAAGATAAAAATAATTAACATTTAAAGTTAAGGCTTTATGTGATTTTGCTTTTATGCATATTAACTACATTATTATTACTTGAAACAAAAAAAAAAAAATCAATCTTTCAATCAAATTTGATGACAATGATAGGAGAAAAAAAAAAGATAACAAAAATTAACATTGAAAGCTAAGGCTTTATGTGATTTTTCTTCACTACTTACTTCTAGCTTCTTCTAGAGTTACTATAAAACAAAAAATGGTAAAAGATAGAATTATTAAATGAAAACAAAAGGGAAACTTTCAGTTTTGGGGTTTTTTTAGAAATAAAAGAGGAACCTTGAGAAGCGGAGAGAAAGACTGACTAGAGGATGATAGCAACGTCTTATTGGTCGATCAGTGCGGCGGCTGAACCTTTACTTGCAAATCCGCTATTGAGAACTTGCGTTACTGTGCTTTCTACTCTGTCTTTGGGAGCCGGCTACAAACAGACAAAACGCATTCCAGATAGGCGACGTCGTTTCACGTTTCTACTGGCCTTTTCCTTATTTCCCCTCTCTCTCTCTCTCTCTTTTTCCTAAATATCCCAAAAAAAAAACATATAAAAAAGTTTTGCTAAATTACTACATGGATAATTTCCAAATCTTTTATTATACTTTGGGTTGATTTTAAATTTATTTTTATCTATTTTAATTTGGTTGAATTCACTCAGTCCATTTTTATTTTATTTAAATCAAAGGGAAAACCCTTTTTTAGGAGATGTATTTTATTTTTACAAAAAACAAAGAACAATTAAAAGAAATTATAAATTATTCAAAGTTATTTAATGGATTTCTTCCAAAAAATGATTTATACATATTTTTAAAAATTTATATTTGATATACTATTTAATTTATAAATATTATACACTATCAATAAAACATATAATCAATGATATTAGATAAAATTTAATTTTAAATATAATAATACATAAACTTAAAAAAAAATTTAACTAAATACATTTATTTTTAAAATTTTAAAATTAATTTTTTATAAAACATTATTATGTAATTCATTAATAATGTATAGATAATAGATCATCAAATATTAATTTCGAAGTAAACGTATGTATTATCAATTGTTTCTACCATAGAACAACTTTTTCTTTACATTTTCTTATTGAAAGAAGGAAAATTTTTTAATATAATTACTACTAATTTTTCTTATTTAAAATTAGGTATCTATAGCAACTTTGAAAACTCTAATAAACTAGGTTATTAAATAAAAAATACAAAATTCCACAGTTAATAAAAGCCAATTAAGTTTAAATTCATTAAATCAGTGTGGGTGAATGCCTAAAGTTCTTTTCTTTTGGCAAAAAAAAAAAAAAAAAAGAATGCCTATAAAAAATTATACACAAAAAATAAATAAAAAAAAAAAACCCTTACTAGTTTGGTCCAAAGAAGAAATAAAGAGGGATGCCAAATCCAAGAAAACAGATTTTAGCAACTATATAAATAAATAATGTGAAAAATTATAGTTAAAATGACAGTAATGAATCTAAATTCCAAAAACAATATAACAATTTATATGTTGGTGTTGAGCTATCTTGGCCAGAGCAAATATCTAAATATTTTTATTATTTGTATCAATATGATATATTAAATTAATTTAATATATTTAATGCTATAGTAATTTAATACGATTTTTATCGTCTTTGTATGATCTTTTATAGCTTACTTATAAATATAAAAGTTTATACATTATTAGGGTAAGTTGAACCTACTTTTTTTTTTTTCTTTCCTATTTCGTTTCTGATTTGAATTTTTTTTATTTGTGTATCAAAATATAAACGCAAAAAACAAACATTATCTTTACTTCTAATAGTTTTTTTTAATCTTTTCAAAAAAATCCTAAAGTTGAAATTCGGCACCAAAAAAAATCTTCCAAATTAAATGATCCTTCTGCAAAAACTAAAAACCTTCTGAATATAAAAATGAAAAATAATTTCCGTAATGATAAATTCCTCAATCTATGTACACATTTCATTTCTGAGGTTTATATATTTATTTTTTGAGCAAAATGAATAGATAATCAAATTTAAGCTGAATTTGGCGTTTCCTCTAATTCTTTCCCTGATGAAAGATCAACTCGAGTCCATTTTTTGTTTAATGTAATCAACAAGAGGATTACAGCTTGACATGACAGTCCACATATTAGGCCTATCCATAAACCCTGTAAAGAAAATAATAGAAATGAATATATGGGAAACCAAATTAGAAAAATCAGAGTTTGCGTTTGTATTTTTTAGATATTATAATATTATTTTTTTAGTTTTAGTTATCAAATTTTAATATTTGTCGATCTCATATATGATTCATTTTTTCATAATATTATTATATAGTTTAAGGTAAAAATATATTATTGGTTATTAATTATGGTTATATTTTTAAAATGATCATTAAATTATTAAATTTTTTTAAATTTAATAACTAAAATTTGAGTAATTAAGTTTTTTTTTTTTTGTCATTCAACTATTTATCCCTAACAGTATTATGGTGTAGCAATAACACATCAATTGTTAGCTATCTGTAATATTGTTATGTCAATAAATTTTTTTTTTCAAAATTTATAATATCATGTTAGTAAAATCACGTGACATATTAGATAATATGATAATATCACGTAACACCTAAAAGTTGATGTGACATTATTATATTAGTATGCCATTAAAAATAAATAATTAGACGACAAAAAAATATTTATTTAAATTTTAATGATTTAATAAAAAATTTTAATAATTAAGTGATAATTTTAAAAACACAAGTAAATCTCAAATATCAAAAAATATATATTTGATTACATCTTTCCTAACCTTACTATACAGTTTAAGTTTAAATCCAAGCACAATTGAAATTGGCAGGCCAATCATATGGAAACACCCCAAGTTAATCCATGCAGCTAGGTGTTGCCAACCACATCCTCTAGTCACCCCTGAAACATCAAAATCACTAACATGTTAAATATATATTATAGTGTTTCATAAACCATGGGTAAATTGTTTAAATTTTATGATACTGATGAATAATGGTAGCAGAAAATTTGATTCGACCTGATAAGACGCATTGTAAGATATCAAGTGCTATTGAGGCTGCAAGTAAGGTGTCATTTTGGCAAATATATAGCTTTATCACTGAAGAGCTTTCAGTAAAGAAACCAACCCAAGTATTATGACCAAAGGTTATGGTTGGGACAGCTACGACAGAAAGAACGAGTGATAGCTTCAAGGCGACAGCCATGGCATGCTTGGCTTCAGCTCCCAATTCATTTGACACCCTTATGCTGTAAAAGGAAAAGGGCTTTTTCTTCTCTCAATATCTATGATTAACAGCATTTTAGAGCCTCAGAAATTGATATATTATTTGAAAACTAACCTTGCTGATGCACTCAGACCATATGAAATCATGTAGGCAATAGCTTCAATATTCAGGCTACAAATATCAAGCCAAAATATAGATCAATTATGGTTCAACTCGGAGAATTTAGGGAAAGGAATATGTTAAACAGTCTCAAAAGATTTCCATATCAATTAAAACCATTGTTTCTGTTACTACAATTTAACGTTGTCCAAAAAGGAAAAAGAGAAGCTTACCATATTGCAACCAATTAAAGAATTGAGTTTCGAATTTGGCATCAATCCTGCTAGAATTAAAAGAACCTCAAATGCCAAATACTCCAAACTAGCATGACAAAAAGAATGAAATAGGTGAGCTTGAATAGATATCTAAAGATCGATCTGTTCGTAGAATGTTGTACTTTTAATTTCAATGATAGGAATGTTGAAAATTTACTCACCACACCATTGCTGCAGAGGGAATGGCTAGTTTCAAGAGAGTGAAAATGTAACGAAATGATTCAAACGACAACCCTTTCCAGGTTTTCTCGAATCTCTCGGAGAAGATGACAAAGATTGCTAACGAAAGAAATGCCAGCCATATCGAAACCGAAGCTGCCAAGGCAGCTCCTTTCAAACCCATGGTTGTTCGATGAACCAAGAGGTATAGAATCCCAAAACGAACGCCAAATGGGATTCCTGCGAAGATGACCAAAAGGAAAGTAATGCCTTGTGCCTGACAATACCTCATGAAGTTTTGCACAAAACCAAAGGCAAATAAGCCTGGAATGAGATACTTGACGTAAAGGGCAGCAGTTTTTGCAACGTCATGATGTTGATGAAGAAGGACAAGGATTTGCTTAGTGAAGAACCAAAAGATGGATATGATGATACAGACAATGAAAGAAATTTGGCAGGATGTTTGGAGATATACTCCCAATTGTCTGTACATTTTGGCACCAAATGCTTGACCACAAACAGTTTCCAATGCTCCACTTAATCCTGTCTGATAAAAGATGAAAAAGATCATACAAGAAAATTTGTTATTATTAGTTCAAATGGCAAAGGCCTAAAAGGAATTATATAACAATACGAGAGTAAATTTCATCGTTAATTCATAATTTTTTTGCAAAGTTTTATTTAATTTCATTCGTGATTTAAGAAACTCGATTTTTCATTCATGATTTTTTGGATTTATTTCAAATTTATCAATCCATCAATATATCATTAAAATTTGGATGGAATGTGACAAATTTTATTGCAGTGGATGGATTTGAAACAATTTCAGTTTTTTAAATCATGAATTAAAGTGAAACATTATGCATGAAAACATCAAAGATGCTAAACGAATTATTAAATGTAGATCTCAAGAATCAGATGCAGGAGACAACAAATGCTGATTAGAATAGAGGGAGATAGAGATAATCGATTCACCATTAAACCAATACCAGAAACTGTAGTCCATGAATTGGAAAGCGTTGAACAAGCAAGCTCAAGTTCACCAAGGTGATCAGCAAACAAAACGGACACCAAAGTCATTGAGTAAACGAAAAAATAGGCGATGATCAAAGGCAATGCAGTCACAGTTTGTACTTTGGCCTCTTTCAAATCAAAAACCTTCATTCTCCACTTCCTTCCTCCTTCATTATTTCCTTCTCTACCATTACTAACCTCAAGATTTGGAGTAGTAGCTATTGTTGTAGTTGCCATCACAAACCCAGAAATTAATCCAAATTGATGGGTAATTACAATAGAAAACAACAAAAAAAATAAAGGGTCAAGTCAGAAATCAGAATATCTAGGAAAAGAAAGAAGTGAGTGTGAGAATAAGGCTAGTTCACTCCAAAAACAAGGAGGATTTGGCAGCTATAATGTGATACTAATTCACTAAAAAAAGCAATAAACATAAAGAAAATAGAGATCCTAAGATGCAGTGATACTGGTGCAATTCACCGGGTTTGAAGGGGTGTGTGTAAATTATCAGAATAATAGCATATCATGGAATATAAGCTATCAAAACTCGAGTTTTCTTAACCCCGAACGTAATCATTTGGTTGGTACAGTTATCTTTAAAAGATAATGGCTAATAAATCTAAGATTTAATTTTTAGCGCCTGCAATCTTTTCCACTATTGCTAACTTATAGCCATCTTTTAAGAATTTGAGTTTCCTTCAATGGCAGCAACCCTAGTTCAAGCTGGAAATTCAATCATGGCCGACCCTCTTAATTAATTTCTTACTTCTGACATATCTTTCCAATTATTTTTCAGGTGCCTAGATAGTAGTGCCACTCTTGCTAAACCCTATAAACTCCTTGTTACAATGTTTACATTTGGTCCATTGGTCCATTGTAATTGAAGTTAAATCCATTTTCTTGACTGAACTTAATTGGTGAAGTGCTCCCATACTTAAGAAGATACCAAGTTGGTTCATGGGAATAATATTGTAGATTTAACAGTTTTAGAGGTAGTTAAACAATTTCCGGAATTAAATTTAGAAGTTATAATCTTTTTCATTATTTGACTTTAATTGAAGGTTAAAGTATGAATTTGAAGATTGGAATAATTAAATCCAACCACCTCTCTATTTTTGTTAATTGATTCATAAAAATGTTATTCCATGGTTTTCCAAAATATTGCAAGTTCACATTTCATTGATTAATTTAAAGCATAATTGATATTATCTGTCTTGTCTAGTCCTAATTAAATGTTTGGATTAAATATAAAAATATTCCTATATTATATATTTTTTATAAATTTGATATCTAAAAAAAAAAAATTTTCACTGTTGCACCCAAGCTTTTATTACATCAAGCAATTTGATACTCCAGTTTAACACCATTAGTCAATTTACTTATATAATATTAATACCCAATAAAATTATAATATGTGACATAAATACTCAATGATTACTATAGTATCTATTTTCCACATCAATATTTAAATAAAATTTTAAATTTTTTAAAAATATATATTTTTAATTCAAAATTAAAAAAAAAAAAAGAAAAAAGTAAGAACCTAGGAGAGAGTAAATTAAAATTTTTGCTAACATAGTAATAACAGACATGGTGATAACTAGATATTTATAGCACGTGATATGATTGTATTAGATATTCACGCCACTAGTTAATTGATAGTAACAATGCAAAGTATCAAAGTATTTAATGGAATAAAAATCAAAATATCAAAATAAAAATTTTATTTTTTTAAATACCAACTTGATAAAAGATTTATAATATAGATGTATTTTACATATTAACCCTAAATGTTTCTTATGCCTTTTTTCGATCGTGTATGTTTGTAATTTTCTTTTATCATATGATTCATAGTTTCTTTTCAACTTCTTAATCCTTAAATCTTTATTATGCATTTAAATTTTCACGAATCTGTGATATCTAAAAATCTAATCAACATACCTATCATTTCAGTAAATGCTTCCTTGACGTATGGATAATAGTTAACCAAAGGTTATTAAATTACTATGTAATAATGTAAAGTCAAGGCCAATAATGATTAATTTTGACACTCAAAATTCATCTATAACTTGTTTATAAACTCAACTATCTTTTATTTATTTTGACAATAAAAAACATTGAATCGTACTAAAATCTCTATATTTCAATTACATAAGTAAACAGCTCATGTGATAGACTAACTATAGACATTTTTGTATTATTCTAATTGTTATCATATGCAAGACAACTATAGACATTTGACCTTCATTTCCTACACAATAATTCCCTTCACCCCACCTTGAGCATGCCTTCCCAACAATTTTCCAAGCCATCATTATAAAATCCTCCCTTCAACTATACAAAAACAAATGCAACCCCAAAATCATGACAATGGCATTGTTTTTTTCAAAGGCCCTTTTGATTTGTGGTGGGAGGGACTCCCACGGGTCTCCCACGGGTCTCCCACGGTTCACGAATGTCGTTTTATTGATTAAACCTTTAAAATTTTAATTATTTTCAATATTCATATTACGATGAAAATCTTTTTCATCACACATCCAAATGAAATATCATTTTATTTCTTTTTATGAAGAGTTGACCAAACCAAATAAAAATCCATTGTGTGATTAAGCTTCCTCTATCTCCATACAACTCCTTGTAACTTGCCATGAATGAATTTCCTTATACATCCATGAAGTACATATATTTTACATACTACTATCCCTTTTTTTTTTTCTTTCAATTTGGTTAAATTTATTGAAACACCAAAACTTTGACCTTTCACTTGAATAATCTAGTTTATAAACCATGATAGAAAATGGGTTCTTTGTAATAAATGATCTATGATTGTTTTAATTTTTTTCCAACAAAAATTTAATTTAAAAAAAAAATTTAGACATTATTTTTTAAAAATAATTATATAAATTAATTAAATTAAATTTTAAAAATATTAATATATATAAAATTCAAATTTCAACGTTTATAATTTTTTATCCTCATATTATAATTATATTGGTATTAAAAAAACTTATTAATTAAGACAATTTAAGTCAAACATGTACAACCTTATTAATATATTATATATATATATATATTTGTCTATTCAATAAAGTAAGTAAGATGACCAAGTGTCCTGAATAAACCTTTTAAAAGAATAATTTTTTCTTTCATTCAAATCTGTACAGCTATAATTTAGTTAATAATGAGTGTTTAGGGATAAATTAATAAAATTAGGGTAAAATAATTAGAATGGTCCTTAAATTTAGTGACTGGATGAGAAAGAGAGAAATACTTTAATTAATGATGACAATGGACTTTGCATTAGATAGGACAAAAAATAATACGAAATATATAGTATCTTCTGTACCACATTTATATTCAATTATTTCTAGTTTTAGTTTTTAATTTTAATTTAGCATGAGTACCAACTTACCAAATTTGTAGCCCTATAACAACATATAGGATTATCAATTTTGTATTTTGAATTTAATTTAATTTAATTCAATTCAATTCAATATATCATTATATGCTTCGAGGCATTAAAAAAAATGATATTTTCAAACATTGTATTAATTTAATACAATTTTCAAGTTTAAAAGAAGTAGGTAGTTATTTTGGTGTAAAAAATTTAACATGAGAAAAGTTTTTTCAGGATCAAATAAATCGTAAACTTTAAAAATAATTTAAATTAAATTTATAAATCATTGAGATTGTTGATAATAAGATTCGAATTTAAATTTTATACACTTAAATTTGAATAAAATTTAAATTCGAATCCCTTATATATTAAATCTTTTAATAAAATTTAAATCTCTTATTTTCTCTTTTATCAACTAAATTTGAATTTTATTTGAAAACTCAAAGTTAGAAACTGTATTCAACCTCAATTTAGTTTTATTTTTCATACTTAAACTTGATTTTTAATTTATTTAAATAACTTGAACCCCCTTCCAACATGCTGAGTAGCTTAAATAAAATCATAAACATAGACATAAAATTATATTTTTAATATTTAATTAAATATATCTTAAATATAAAAAATATTAAAAAAAATTTAATTAAATTCACAAAATTTTTTGATTTAGATATCAATATCTTAAACTTAATTCAATTTTTAATTCAAAAAACTTAAATTTCACTCAACAATAATTATATCAAATTCAAATATTCATAAGTCAGTTACGTATAACTCTATTAATACCCTTAAAATAAATTCTTATATTCAAATTCAAATCCATTTAGTACTTCTTTTATGTTTTTTTTTTTTTGTTAGAAGCTACAAACTAGTAGCAATAAATCGCACTAATGGTGGTTTAATTTGTTTGGTCCAAGTTGACCAAATACAATAGCAAGCTCGTTCAACCGTTTTAGATACAAAAGATATTATATAGTTGGGGCAAAATCGATAATAAAAACCCAACCAAAGGCCATTTCCGTCCCAGAAAATACAAGACGGTCTCTTTCGTAAATTCCGCCACCACACCTTTTTTAAAATCCCCACTTCCCCACCATCCCTTTTCTTCTCTCCTTTTGTTCTTAAGAAAAAGGCTGTACATACAAGATAGAACACAAGAGAAAGAGAAAGAAAAATGGTGGATGATGTCATAGTGTGTGTAGACAGAATCATAGCATCAGCAGCTTGTTTGGAGTCATCTTCAGTGAGTGAAGGACAACCAAAGTCAGCAACAACTGGGGGTAGTACTAATGTTGTTGTTTCTGTGAAGAAAACAAGTTATGATGAGAAAGAAGAAGGGAAAGAAGGGTTTTGTTCAAAGAAAGGGAAAGAGATGGTGGAGTGTAGGATATGTCAAGAGGAAGATGATTTGCTTTCTTTGGAAGCTCCTTGTGCTTGTAATGGCACCCTTAAGGTCTTTCTTTTCAGGGCTTTTCTCCTTTCTGTTTTTAAGTTTGAATTTTTGGTTTCTTTCATTTTTAAATGAAAATAAAGGAGGTTCCTTTTTTCTTCTTTTTTGGCTTAAAGATTGTTTTTTTAAGTTTTTGTTTCTGGGTTTTTGATTTTATGCTTGGATGATTCGAATTATATATATATATATATATATATATATTTTACTTGGAGAGGGTATTTTTCCTTTGGGCTAGTTTGTGTTTGTCCTTTGACTGTTTCTCTAGTGATGGTTCTGTGTTATTGGCTTACTGCAGTTTATAATAATAAAAATACAAAGCTTAGTGATCAGAATCACTAGTGATGGTGATCTGGTGTTTTCTAGGGAAGTGGGTTTAAGTTCTGCGTCTATGAAGGCTTTGTTTTTATTGGTTTTTGAAGTGAGCATTTCTTGGTGTGTGCCTTTTTTTAGTCTTTGTCTGTGTCTCCTTTTGACTTATTCATGCGTATTTTCTGAGCCTCAATACGAAATTACCAATGATAAAGTTTCAATGCTTTTGTCAGAAGAGATGCCTGGTTCATTAAGGCAACTTAAATAACATGATAAATCAGTCTTTTGAACCAAAAAGTTTTCTACAAGTCTACGTATCTGAAATTGTTAGTTTTCATTTACTAAATTTTAAATTCAACTGGTAAATCTTGTGCTATGCTTTTATCTGTAGGCTGTAGAAGTGTGAATGTACAAAATCTGAATCAATCATTTTTCCAACATCAGCACGTGTTTCTACTCATAGTTTTTAAGTTGTTGTGACTTTTTGTATATTCATTATGGTTAACTTGTCTGCTTCTCCTGGCATGTATGTGTGGCAATAGTCATGGATGTAATGGTTCAACCTAATATGTGCCTTCTGAGTTTTGAAGTCTGCTTTCTTGATAGGTTCTGGTTATCAGATTTTGGATCCTTTGTAGATTGAAATATGTGAACTATCTAACTTATCCTAAATATTTTGCTTTAGTTTGCTCATAGGAAGTGCATTCAAAGATGGTGCAACAAGAAAGGTGACATAACGTGCGAAATATGCAAACAGGTTGAAGGTTTTTAACTCTTGTTTTTTTAAATTAACTCTTGCATATATCAAAGAGAAAAATATGTCATTGATGGATCATGTGTGCCATATTTTCCCTACTTTTATCAGGTTTTTTCACCAAATTATTCTCTTCCTCCAACCAGAAGCAGTCCTGACGTTTTGGCAATTGACATTAGGTAATCCTTTTTTGGGTTTACAGCTTCTACTGCTATATCTTTCCTGTAGCTAGGCTCAAATGTATCTTGTTTGGAACTGTGGAATGATTATAATTCTATTAACCTTATTCTGCCTTCCTAAATTAGAAACTGCTTTCGGGCTTTATGGCAGATTGGCAGTATAAATACTGAACAAGAACACTATAGATGGCAGAAATCCATCTATGTGCATTCTTGGATTTCAGTCCAATCAAGGCCAGCTTTAGATAGTTTTTGGTTTAGAATATTGATAGCTTTGAACCCGGTCAAACTATTAACTCCTTTATGGAAATAATCCTGTGTAATATATATGAACAATGTATTACAACCTTATAAGGGTTAACATCAACTGATGTTAATTAATCATTTGAAACATGAAGTAGAACATAAGAGTTATTTGGAAACTAAGAGGAAGATAAAAAATTAAAAATAAAAATAAGAGGATTAGAGTAAATGATTTGGACATCCTCTTCTGCAAGTAAAATGTCTATGACTTTTGGTTGGTTGCTAGCTTTTGGACAAGGGAGCTAGCCTGAAATGCTTGTCATTTCATTGATGGTAGTATTAGTAGGAAGGCTATAACATCCTTGTTTGTGGTCTCAGGCATTGACCGGGCATTCTTTATGGAGCTTCTTATTTATTGTGATTACTTAGTTATTTTTATTTAACTTAATCTTTGTGATCAGGCAAGCATGGAGCCCTCATATTGATCTCCGTGATTCACACCTTCTAGTGTTAACGGCTTCTCAAAGCCAATTACTTCAATCAGAGTATGATGATTATGTTGCTGCAAATAGTGGAAGCCTTGCCTGTCTTCGCTCGGTTGCCCTCATCGTAAGCAATAAAACTTATTCTTTGCTCAAGAATGATGGTTTGTCTCGCATTTGGAAATTTATGTGGGTTTTTTTGCAGTTGCTAATCATTTTGCTCTTACGCCAAGCCCTTATGTTGACAAGAGATTCTGGCATGATACAGGAGTCATCAGCTTTCATTAATGTGAGTACAACATGACTTGTTTGGAACATTTTTTGCACCATAGTAGCACCTCAGTGTGAATTTTCATGTGATACCATTGAAATGCTTGTATTTTACAAGCATTTGACACATTGCCATAGAAAATCTTACATACATGTGCAGAAATGTAGATATAAATTTGTTGGAGTACATTTGCATTAATTTGTGTGTATAAGTTGAAATTTTTTTTTCAAAATGATGTTAAGATTATGGACATAGTAGTAAGTTGAATTAATAATATTTTTTCTGAAAGGATGTTCTAGTGGACGAATGTTGTGGGATAATTACATTCATTCCTTATTCTTTTTCCTTTCGAGCCAAGACTGAATTAGAATTCCTGTCATCAGTTTCAGGTTTTGCTTCTCCAATTTGCTGGCTTTCTTCTGCCATGTTATGTGATAGCTCGCACGTGGTACTTACAAAGTCGAAGAAGGAGACAGGTGAGTTGTAGCTCCTGATAGATATTCTTTTTCTTTTATGTCAACACCAATAACAAAGATGTTTCTTCTACCTTTTCTTTAATTGTAATGATCTAATGGCAAATCAGCTTGTTTTAAAATTCCATGCTGACTGATATTGATGTTGTTCAATGTGATTGATTAAAACAAGAAATCTTACCTTCTTCAGTATTTCTTTTTTCTGTTACTGAGATTTCAAGATACTTTTGCAAGCATTTTATTCCAAACTTTTGAGAACATGAAATAGATGGTGCTTCTAAAATAGCTTGTAGGTTCTGATCAACTAAATTCCAAAATGGCTCATGTCTGTTGTTTAAGGTAATGAATTGCACAAATATGTGGAAGAAGTAACAATTATATACTTATATCGTTGAGCATTTATGTTGTTATCTGTTATGCTATATATTTGTTATGAGTCCCGAAAATGATCACTCCATACCTGCATAACAATTGTGGTCGTAAAAGATGTGCAAGACTAACAGAACTGGAACTGCTGTCAATGTTCTTGAACTACATTGATTTGTCATGTTTAACAGTGGAATGCGTCGGTAGCTTCCTTGTGTCTAAGATGATGATATAGCTCAACATCTAGGGCTCACCTCTATGGATGATGCCTAGTTGAGCATGATTGTGGTATCAAACGTTTTGTTCATCAATGTCTTGTACCAAAAACTTCAGTCTTGATAAGCAATTAAAAAAATGTGATTAAATTTCCCTTTTCTTTTGGCCACTTTAATTGATATATTCTTCTCTTTCTTCAAGGGTTAAAACTAGCTATATGTGCTATCTGCATTTCCGTGACGAGGCTGTTCTTTCCTTCCATGCTAAGTACAGGCAAGTTGTTATTGTGCCCAAGTTGTATCCAAGCAAGTAGGTGCCAAAATTGGCTAAAAGTCTAGTGGCTGAAATCCTATGTATCTCAATTACAGAACTCGGGAAGCAAATGTAAATGTGATTATGAGTTCATTAGTTATTTTTTCTTTATTGTTTTGTCCATGAAGCATTTGATATCTCTGATTATTTACAGCTTTCTGGGTAAAAAAAGTATGAAACGACATCGTTTTCACACTCTTTGACTTGGGGAAAAATGGTAAAGCAATGTGATTTATTTTCTTCTTTCACTCCTTAATGGAAGTTCTTAAAAAAATAAATAATAAATAAATGAAGAACAAGAGAGCTCCTTCTTCCTAGTTTTGGCATGCTCTATCTATTTGAAACTGACCGGCAACCTTGTATTATTACCAAATCTTTTCAAGTTCAGAACATGATTAACACTATTTTTGTTCATTTGTGCTTCAATTGGTTTCAGGATCGCTTGCTTGCACAAAACATATGAGCTAGATTCGCGGTGAATGTAAAATTACTTATAATAAGAATTACATTAAAATTTATTTTATTTATTATAGCGGTCTTTTAGGGTTTTAGACTTTTATTATAGATATGTTACTTTATTTAGAGTTGGTAAGATGATAAAAAGGAGGCCAATGGTTTGTAAGACTGAGACTTAGGAATAATTTAGTATTAGTTGAAAAAATTTTGAATTAAAAGAAGTATATTTAAAAAGTGTGACGAGAAAAATATGATTAAAAATTTTAAATGTTTTGTATTGTTATAAAAAAATTATTCTTTTTGGATATGTAAGAGAAAAGCATTAAGATTCAAATTTAAATTTCACTAAATTGTTTTAAGATACGAAAATAACGTTAATGAAATTTTGGTTTAATGGTAAGAAAATATTTTTAAAATTTTAAGATTTTAGATTTAAGTTTTAATACGCGTGAATTTGATTATTTAATTATATTATATTATATTAGTTAGTGTGAGTTTGGTTATTTAATTAAATTATATTTTATTAATTGATTATTAAGTAATATAATAATTAATTATATGAATATAATATTTGATTATAAATTTAATTTTTAAAAAATATGAAAGTAACGCTTGATTATGATTTAGAAAATTTAGCCAACGGTTAAATGATCAAAAATCAATTTTTAATAACTTTAATTATAAAAAAAATTTAAAAATTAATTTTTTATAAAAAATATGAAACTTTTGAAATCAACAAAATCAAATCTAACATTGAGAATCTTCTTCTGCTTTAATTCTAAAATTTTCAGTACTCATTTTTCAGATGTGACTCATCATCTGTTGCCCCACTTTCACCGAAAATTGAAGATTTTCCATGTAAATTCGATTTCATTGGGTACTTGAATTAGCTTTTTCAGACAGAAAGGAAATATTTTCTGCTAAGCATGTGTAATTATAGTTGGATAATTAAGTTTCATTATCAATCAAACCAATGGATCTTAATCTGAAGCAATTTTCAAGATTTGCTGTCAGTTTCATTACACTTGATGATACAAAGAGATCCATGTTTTGTGCCTCAATCTCCGTTTCTTACATTCTCGTATGATTCTAAGCCATGGAAATATGCCTTCTAGATAGGTCAAAAAATATTACCACAAAAACAAGAAACATCACCCACTAATTGTTTAATTGATTTTCAGCCAGTATTTATGGGAGGTTTGTAGTTGATTAGTATTAATCAATGTTAATATATATATATATATATATAGAAAGTAACTTAGCCCAATGGATAATCAACAATTCAAAATAGATAATTAACTTTAAAAAAATCAATTATTTTTTGAATCAATTGATATATCGTTAGAGTTGATATTAGAAAATTACGGGTTTGAAAAAGTTCAAGGATGTAATGTTCTTTTCAACAATATATGTAGTAAAGTATAAGAAATTTAAGAGTAGATTGAGAACTTAAAAAAAAAACTTTAAAAAATATATATCGAATGAAATTCAAAAATCTTATTGCATAACCAAAAAAATATCATGGATAGTAAATGATTTTTAAATTGAATTTTACCGATGATCCTTTGTTGATAGTATCTTGAATATAAATGCATGCATTTAAATTTGATAATTTAAAATATAATATGATAACACAATATAAATATAATATGAAAAAAAATACAAAGATGATATTGTTTAATTTATATATGAGTTTAACAAAACAAAAATATATATCTTTTTATATTTTCGTGTTGATAAAAATTATAACATATAATTTTTATATAAAATATAATATAAATATATCAATTTTAACATTTCATATAATATGAGTATACGAATCGTTATATCTACATATAATCTTACGATATCGTAAATGATGCCTATATAATAATACAAAAGATTGAATAATTTAGTTATCTTTGAAATTCATATATATATTATTAAAAAATGATTAAATAACTCAATATACAAATGAAACTTCGCTATCCTTAGAGATTGATCTACCTTAATTTATGGTAAGGTAGACAATGATCTCGTCGGTTGAAGAAAACAAGTTTTAGCGACCAACTGTAAACTTCGCCATCCTTAGAGATTGATCTACCATAATTTATGGTAAGGTAGACAATGATCTCTTCGGTTGAAGAAAACAAGTTTTAGGGACCAACTGTCGGCATGCATGAATAATTGGTATATAAGTACAGTAAATTAGTAACATAGAAAGAGACGTATTTAGGTTTTTATAAATTGTCCAATGTGAGAAATTCAATGGATTTGCATGGAAAAGTTCAGACACAGATACCCTTTACTATGATACCAATATTAAACGACAAAGAAACATTACAACTTGTCATTTGAATGTCACCAAGTTAATATTTGTTATTCTTTAAAAAAAAAAAAAAATACCCAATGAAGAGGGAGCAAGGACATAAAACAAGCATAGGCAGTAGGTTGTTGTACAATAATAGAGACATGGTTTGTTTTTATCCACAGTGATGATATTTAACAGATTTCGAATTTTATTTTTAATATTTTATAATTTTTATATTTTTAGATTATGATTTTTTTTGTAAAAATAGAAAATATATGATTATTTTTGGATGAAATGTGGTACATTGCTACAATTTTTTTAGCAAATATATATATTTGATTTAAAAAATGCATATTTTATATTACTAATATTTTATTAAACTTGTTTAAGAGCTGAATTATTTATCTAAGTCTGAAAGTTCATTTAAGTTTTAAGAATGCTTAAAAAAAAAATTAAAATCTGTTAAACGAGTTTAGACATATATAGTTTTTAGATTTATTTAAATTTTAGATAAAAAATTTAAAATTCGAGTTCGAGATTACTAGACTCAAATTCATATATATAATTTTTTTTTTATATATGTGAATTATAAATATATTTATTCACATATATAAAAATAAAAAATAATATATATTTTATTAAAATTAATTTTTATTTTCATATAATTTTTATTTTTAATCTTTACATGTATAATTTTTATTTTTAAATTATATATATGAATTAAATTTAATCCGATTAAATTTAATTTAATAATTATTTTTATTTTTATTATATAAATTAAATTTAATTGATAAGTTTGATATTTATTTTTTTAATTTAGACTAAACTTAAAAAAGTTTTGAGATTCAAAATTTCAAATCAAGTCTGAATAAACCTATAAATTATTATTATCAAATATAAACCTAATTCAAACCGACTTGACTTGATCATGTACACTTTTACATTTTATTAATTATATAAATTTAACTGTTAAAATTTGATGATTCAAATTAGATTCCAACATTTTCAAGTGAAAGAATTGAATTTTTAGAAGCTAGAATGACCCACAATATAGGCCCCTAAATTGAAACTTGAAGAATGAAGGTTTTAAGGTAACCGAGTTGTTGGTAATTCCTATTCCTTTGATGACGAGTAGGAAGACATTATTACCGCTAGGAAAGGTAGAAAAAGGTGGCTTAATTGCAAAGTACAATATCAAGCTGATCATTTTATGAAGCACTTGAAAGTTCATAAAAGCAGAAAATAATTCACATAGGATTGCATAAAAATATTGAATCATTTTTATTTAGTCCATGTTCCACCAACTCTCTTACCTGTCCCCTTTGAAAAACTACACAAATCTTACTGCTAATAAACAATAGATTACCAAATCTATTGTTTTCAAATAAAATTTTAAATTTTAATTTATATTCAAATAAATTTTTAATTTTTAATTTATACATAAATAAATCTTTAAATGTTTTTGTTAGAAATAAAAATTTATTTAGATATAAATTAAATAATAAAAACTGACTTTGGTATAATAAAAATATAAAAATTTATTTTAAAAAATAAAATAACTATCAAACTTTTTTTGATATTTTAACCTTCCCGGGACTCATACGTTGAGCTATAGTATATTTTAGAAGTTTAGAGCCTAATACATCTACATCTAAGACCAATGGCATTTAGGTTTGAATTTCATGCGACCAAATTATTGGACCAAAATCACATGTCTACATAATCTCAATTATGAACCTACCTTATACCTATCAAATCTAACACTCATAGAGAAGAAAAAAAATAAAACATTTGCACATGTTTAGCTTTACGATAAAAAAATTAAGTGATTAATTTGTGACTAATGCACAAAATTACATATCATTATCTTTAATTCAATTCATATATTCATCTTAGGTTTTGAGATCAAAGAAAGGTGGAAATTTTTTACTTATGACATTAAAAATCATCAAATTTTAATTTTATTAAAAAAATTAAAATTTAATATTAAATACATTAAAATATTTTTTTAACTTTGTAAAAATTAATACATGACAAACATTTTACGACAAAAAGAATAATAATGTAAATATTAATCAATAAAAATTTATCGTGTATCATGATATTACTAATTGTTGTTTGCCCAATCAGTTAACATTAACAAATTTTAATGTTTGAGATAAAGTATTTAATTGTATAATTTTTTTTATAAATATTAAATTATGAAAAATTATATAATTTGGAGGCTAAATTTAAAATTTACCCATAAAGAAAACCGGGAACTCAATGATGAAGGGAAAGAGGCAAGTACTGAGGTAGTACTGGGATGGATCTCTGAGCAAAGCAAAGAAGATGGAAGTTTGAGTTAACAGACAAAAATCAAAACCGTGTGGGTCCCTCACCTCCTCACCTTTAGACTAGGTCCTCGTGGACTTTTTCGCACACGGTCGCACTGCTTTGTCGGCCCGGCTAATCTCTTAACATTTTCACCCACTCTTTTCCATTGTCCGTGATCCTCACGTCCTACTACGTGTTTGCCACGCGTGGGTTCGACGGGAGAGTTAATCACTCGAGTTTGAGAGAGAATCATCGAAGGAAGGTGATTTCGGACAAGGAGTGGGACCCATCTGTCAGAAAACTACCCACCTGAATGCGGAAACTGCTCTGACAACGATTTCCCGCCAAATTAGAAACACAGCAGAAAAAATATTAATTGTTTTCTTGAATGATAAAAAAATATTATTTATTTTCTTATTTATGTATAAAATTATATAAATTTGTCATTTATAACCATTAAAATTTTTATTAGATTTAACTATTGTTGATTTAAGTGATAAAGAATTTAATTTTTTAAAGTAAAATTTTGATTTTGAATATTATGAATAAAAAAAATAAGTTTAAGAGAGTTTGCTCTTTTTATGGATATGATCTAATTCAATTTTAAATTAATCAAAGTTTAAAGTGACTATTAAATATCGAAAAATCTTAGATAAAAAAAATTTATTTATGAGTTTTTTTAAAAATTAAATATATTTTATTATTCAATTTAATTTAATAAACATTAAGTAAATTATTGTATTTTAGGAGGATTTTTTTAAATAATCATATTTTATTATTAAGTTTAATTTTTTGGCCAGATATTATTAATTTTAATTAGTTAAATCTTTATTTTCTTACAATTTTAAATTAACTTAATTTATTAAAAAATTATATAAATGAAAATATTTACATATTGGTAAAAAAGAAAATAAACAAATAAAATAATTTCATTTTTATTTCCTTTTTTAGGTTTTTTTTTTAAAGCAAATACCCCAAAATTTAATACTTAAAAAAAAAATCAAGCAAATACCCAAAAATATTGCAATGAGGCCTTAATCACTATTCCAATTAGGGAATTACTTTAATATATAAGTATAAATAATAAAAAATAAAAAAGAAATTGTCAAGACCTAATTTATCAAATACTTTCACCTATTTGAACTTATTGAAGACATTCTCTAGATTTGGGAAATTATTGGGTCAAGTTCACCTACTTGTAAATTTTTGTCAAGACTACCATTATTAAATTTGAATGCAATTTTTTTTTTACTAATTCAAGCACATTTCAATATATATATATATATATATATATGAGAGAAAGTTTAATATAAGTCATGATGAAGTATATAGGGGGTTAAGAAATATGGATAAGTCTAAATTTTGAAAATTTTAAAATATTTTGAAAGATTTTGATTATTGAATAAGATTACTTAGTAAATAATTAAAATTTAAAAATTATCATAGGGAAATAATTTTTTTATAGTTTGTTCATGTAGACATACACATAAACATAATTTATTCAATAATTACATACCTTGTAATAGTATATATATAATATGATTTTTTGATACATTGAATATGAAATCAATCATGAATCTATAAATATAAAATTGAAATTAAAAGAAAATTGTATAGTCCATTTAATCTAAAAACTTGAAAGGATATAAAAATAATAACTATTAAGATGTTGATTCTCTTTTTAAGTTAATTATTTATTTGATTTTATGAGATATGGTAATTTTCTTAATTCAATTTAATTTGGACATCATGTATTTCACTTTATTTTCATTTGATAGTTTAGGTTAGACAAAAAAAAGTGCTAATTAGTTTTAATAAATTGTTAATTTGATTAGTCCAAGTTTCAAGTCCCATCATGAATTTGATTTAATTTTATATTCAATTTATTTAATAATATAATAATTGATTTATTTTTTATATAAAATATTTGAATAAGATTTTAATTTTTTTATATTAATAATTTCATAAAATATTTAATTTCTTTAATTTATCACCTACTCAAATTACATGTAAAAATTCAAATTTCTTTTTTTTAAAAAAAGAAGTGATAAAATTATTTTTTTCTTTGGCCAAATAAAATAACTAGTTAAAAGAAATAATTTTCCCCTTAATCTTCAATTATTGAGATCATTTTTTAATTAAACAAATAGTACTTAATGAAGCCAAGCCAGCTAAGTTTGAAAAGAGAGTGAGAGAGAAGAAAAAAAAAAGAGAAAGAAAAAGAAAGAAAGAAAGAGTCGAGAGATTTCACTAGTCACTTTCAAGCATAGTTAGAAAATGGACAATAAATCTAAGGTTAAATCGAACTACTCTATCTCCCTTTACTTCTTTGGCTGTTTGCATGGTTGGATATTAGCTGTCAAATAAGAAAACAAGAACAAACTATTCATATATTTTTCTTTTTTTTTTTTTGATTTTCCTTCCACAATCTCTTTATTTTATTGCGTCAAAAACCTTATAAAAACTCTTTCACAAACCCCTTTTCTACTACCCTCTCTTTCCCAGGCCTTTCTTTACCATATGCACTCTTTTTCAGCTTCTCTGAGCCTTCAGCAGTTTTGGGTTTAAGCTCACTTTTGCAATTTTTGGATTAAAAGAATTTTGATTCTTCATTGAAGTTTCCAATTTTTAGGCTCAAAAACTGACAAGTTTTGGCAATAAAGTTCCAGTTTTTAGCCCCCAAAAGAAAAAAAAAGTTTGCTCTTTTTAATGTTTTGTTGAAGAAAAACAAACAAAACTGACTTTTGGACTTTGGGGTGTTGATAGTTTTTGTTGAAAAAAAATGAAAAATTGAATCATAAAAGCCTTTAACTTTGGCTTTCCCTTAAAAAAGTTTTTCTTGAATTTGGGTGTTTTCTTTAGCTCGGTCTTGAAGATTTTCAACTTATAGTATAAGGCTTTAGATTCTGCTTTGAGCTATTTTGGCAATGCAGACTTTATGTTCTTGGTGAGTTGCTTAACTCCTATGTGTTTTCTTTTGGCTACTGTAGTTGTTCTTTTGCTTTAAACCATCTATATTTCATTGTTTGTAATGTAAATTCGACATATATTTACCCATTAATTTGATCTTTTTTTGCATTGCTGCTCTGTTTTCCATGTAATTGGATTTCTTGCCTTTTTTCCCCCTTGAAAGGCTTCCTTATGATGTAAGCATGATTTATAGTTGTATACTTGAATGTTACCTTGAAAATATTTGTTTAATCATAGTTTTGTTGACTAAAACAATCTTGGGTTGGTTTCATTAAGTTATTATTTGGAATTAAACTAAAGGAATGAGGAGATTACACATGCAAATTAGGTTATTTATGCTTCATTCATGCATTTTGTTTTTCATAAACTGGTCCCACAAAAGATCATTCATTAGTTAATCAAACACAGAAATAACCACTGATTCACTGTGGTTTTTCCAAATTCATTTATATTATGTTTTGCTTTACTGAAGCTTAGAGCTTTTACCACTGTCCAGTTTGATTATTGTGCTTGGCTTGATTAATCAAATGATGATGATACTGGTTTTTAAGTTTGTGTCTATGACGTATTGCTGATGTATAGATTTATTCTTTTTCCATGCATTATAATTTTGTATTGTTTTTTCAAATTTTTATGTTAGTAGGTTACAGTGTTTTTCATTGAGTCTTGCAACTATTGTCTGTTTGTAAGCCTACAGTTATTTTAATTATGTTGTTGGTGATTACGCTAATGAATGGGATGTTTATAAATTATGTCTGCTGGTATATGAATGGATGATTATCTGCTGACCAACAAAGTGGATTTTTTCAGTTTATCATATTGAAATAATGCTATGGTGTTTCGTGCAGCTTATATAAAATTTGAATTTTTTAAGGTGTCTACGGGAATTAAATTAAGCTTATATCTATTTCAAATTGGATGTATTCTGCCTTGGATGCTTCTCTAACCAAAATAAGTTTCATTGATGGTCAACTGCAAATACCAAATTTCTTCTTTGCTCTCACCACACGGTTGGCCTTTTGCCATTTATATATGTATCTAGATGCTTTTATCCAATGTCCTAAGGCAAAAGGAACAATCACCCTTCTCAAGAAGGGCTCAAGCTTTCTTATATTCTGGTTTTTAGGCATTTTGCTTTGCCTTTTAACTTCTTCTGGTTTAAATAATAACTAGCTGGAGCATGTGAGTAACCTACTAATCTTAGATCAGAGTTTTTTTTAACTCTTTATTCATTTGACGAAAACCTTCCTGGAAATGTGTTGATTGTTTTAGTTTTGTTCTTGTATTTTTTTTTTTAAAAAATTTGACCAAGCTGAAGGTTTATCAAAAGTATCCAACAAAGTTTGAATCATTGGTTTAGTTATGCTTATATGGATGATTTCATGTCACATTAGTAACATGCCTATGAATTCAAACAATGTTGATTAGATGATCTTCTACCATTTCAATGAAGATTTTATGGCTATCATGGTTGTTCAATCTAGTTAAGTCCTGCCTTGGATATCTTTGTTCATCCTTTTCACGATTTTTCAGCTGGCTGAATGAAGTCAGATGGATGAGATTGCCAGTATGTTTGTTGCCTGTTATTATTTTAGTGTGTGATTCTTTTTTCTCTTTTCAACTAGTGAAGAAGGGATAGAGATCGGAAAGGTGATGGAAAACAAAAGGAGCCCTTGCTCTGTTGATAATAGCAGTTTCACTTCTTTGGCATCCAAACGGCAGAAGGCTGATTTATCTATCTCCACAAAGGTTTTTACCCTTCTTTACTCCTATTTACATCTCTACTCAGTGATATATATTCTTCCACATTCATTTCATAGCTATCGTAAAGGAATATCTTGTACCAAGTCTCCAAGAGTGATGGGATACTCAACTCAGTTTAGTTTGACGATAGCATAATCTCCGTTAGCTGGGGTTAGCTCAATGTAACTTTCTACATTTTCCCCTTGTGTTCCTAGATTAACTACTCACCTGTTTGGTTCTTCCAATTTTCTCTTCTTAGAATATCTAATAGTTCATCCTATTTGTTGTGCTTGCTTTATCATGTCACTATCTATGAATTGAATATATCGTTCTGTTCTTGTGCTGAAAACCTATGCAAACATTTATTTACAACTACTAAGATGATGGTCACACTTTTTTTTTTCTAACAAGATGCTTAGTTAATATATTCTTGGCGTAGCATACGTTTGTGTATAACTATTTTAGGGCTCATACAGGAAGGCTTTTTCTCCTGAGGATGGTTCCAAATGCATCTTCAGCTATTACTTATTTATTAACCATCGGTGGTAGTTCAGTTTCTAGAAATGCGGACTTTTATCTCTTCATTTCTTCTCTATGTACTAAACTATGTACCGTGTGCAATGAGATGTGTTTGTTGCTAATATTAATCTTAATTTACTCTTTCTGGCAATAGGATAGGAAAGAGAAGGTTGGTGAACGGATTGTTGCTCTGCAGCAGCTTGTTTCACCATATGGAAAGGTACATTTGGCAGTTAATTACTTACATCGGAGTGGCAATACTTCATATAGTGCTAGTACTGGACAACATTAAGACTTTAGTCAGTTGTTTCTGGTGGAGATTGGTTTGAAAAACAAGTCTAATATTTTTAAGCTGCTAAAAACTTGAACGATGATGCTATAGTGGTCGTATTTTAGTGTTTATTATGGCTTTTAATGAAGTTGCCTTTCTTGTTATAACTGTGAAGCTCTGTTTAAATTGTTGCAGACAGATACAGCTTCTGTCCTCCTGGAGGCAATGGAATACATAAGATTTCTTCATGAACAAGTTAAGGTTGGTGTTTCTTGCCTATTTTACTTAAATTTTTTTACAAATTGCAAATTTTAAATGCATGCTTCTAAAGATTAGCAATCTCAAATTCCAATGAATACACTGCCTAGAATTGTCCAAATTGTTGGATTGGGCATAAGGTCTGTTGATTTATTTTCAAATTTAAACATGCAACCTGGAAGCTTTGACAGTTGAGGTCTCAGCCTGGCATTGAACTTTGAACAATTTCAGCTTAAAATTTTGAGAGATTCAAGCTTTGACCAACTTAAAAATGTCTAGGAGGAGCTCTTGGTTGTTCAGTTAGTCTTACGTCTCTCTTTGGACTTGGCAATGTTCAAAGGGGCAACAAAAGTGAATATCAAAGAAAAGAAAAGAGGAGAGTGAAAATGAAAGAAATGCATTTTCCTTCTAAAGATCGTTGGAACATTATTAATGGCTATGACCAAGTGTGCAGTGATTTGGGTCTGTGGAATTCATTTCCATGATGCTTGTAAATACGCATGCATCGGAAAATTTTTTTTATGTATGTAGAGAAATTTACTTTTATATATAAATGGCAATTTTAACTTAAAATTTCTTTGCTTTTTTTGTTTTTGGGGTGGTTTCAGGTGTTGAGTGCTCCATATCTCCAAACCAAACCAAAAAACAATATGCAGGTGAGCATCAAATGGACCCTGGTACAAAGAAATTAGGATATGTAACATCTGTGTCGATGAAACACCTTTTATGTCCGACACTATAGAGACATTGATTAGGGAAATCATAGTTCGAAAGCTATGATTGGCTTTTAAATGGATTTGATTTTCTTCCAGGATGTTGAGCATTATAGCCTGAGGAACCGAGGTTTATGCCTTGTTCCGATCTCTTGTACCGTTGGTGTTGCTCACAGCAATGGTGCTGATCTTTGGGCTCCCATCAAGACCACATCTCCTAAATTTGACAAGGCTATCTCACAATTCAATTGACATTTTATTTCACAGCAACTGGAAGGCTTTGAAGTTTACTAGAATTGGTTTAGAAGGTAACCGACTTAATATTCGATGCTCAAAATTTTCTGAGGCAGATGCAACTTTGTAACTGAAAGTTATAGCTTGAAGCACTAAGATAGGATGATGGTAGGCAAAATTATTAGTCTTTGATTAGGAGAATTGTGTTATCTAAAATGCAGACCTGCACCTTTATAGTTTTAAGCTGGTGTTCGGATCAAACCTGCATTCAATCTATTCAATTATAGAAACTTCTTGCTTTCTCCTGATCATGTAATGTAAAATGTATATTGAGGAACATGAGTTGAACAACTATAAATTGTATCTATTAATATAGGAAGGGGAATTCCATGGTTAACGTACCTGGCCTGTTTCTTTTTGAGGGATCATCATGGGTTCTTGTCATCTCCATGGCTTGCTGTCTTGAGTTAAATTTATGTTCACTAGTTAATATTTATGCTTAAAGAATGTGTGTTCCAAATTTATGCAAAATTTACTTTTGGAACTAAATTTCTTAATGATTATCTTGGTCTCTAATTTTCCATAAAGAGGTTGCATGTTGGTAATTGCAAGAAATTCAAGACCAGGAGGGAAAAATTAGGATTTTTTTTTTTTTATAAAAGGGATCAAATATGAAAGTGAAAAAATATTACAAATATTGAAATTTAAATTTCAGATTTATTAAATGTTATGTATTAAGATGAATGTATGAACCAACTGATTCTCATGAACCAACTGACTAGATAGAGGGAAGCATTAGGGATTTTTGAGCTGCTTTTGATGATCTCAAATGCTTAAGGTGCTAGCCAAGCTAGCAAAATGTGCTAAGCTATGGTCAGGGTGGGGGTTGGCCTTTTGAAGTAAGCCTGGCCTTTCAGCAGCCTGGTCTCTCTTTGAAATATGTACACATTATCAGAGAGGTGAAAACTATATGAACCTAGTAGATTGGCAGTATCTAATATTCAACAATGGCATTAATGAACAGTTTGACTTTCTTGATGCTCTTAGGTCAAAGTTTTCCACTCTGCCATTGAAAGTTCCTTGCAGGTTGCAGTTCACCGGTTCTGGAATGAGTGTCTTCCATCAAGGGATTTCTTTACCAGTTGTTAAGTCACCGTTGATCTGAATCTTGGACCACCATCAGCAAGCATTCACGCATTACTGCTCAAATAAGGGACGCTTTCAGGTTGACAAATTTGGTCACTGACCCCTACATTGGCACCAGCCACCAGGCAAGACCCTCCCTGTATTACACATCAACACCTAAATTGCACAAAAGTCTTGAACAATTAAAGTTCACAACCAACACCCTCAAAACGCATCCTTCAATAGCCACACACATCATTAGATGTGACGGGGCGTTTTTTGCCTGTCTATATTTCCTGATCTTCAAACAGCACAAGCATTTCAATCAGGACGGTTAGGACCTTGTGAATTCAGAAGTGAAAGTTCATGTCTTATTCTAACTCCAGGTCCAGCAGTCCACGCTAATGCAAAACCCTGAAGACATGTTGGTATCATACACGAACACAAACAGACATATTAGGAAGATCAATTGAATAACCAGCCAGGAAATGTTATCAACTTTCCATCAAAGTACAACTAATGCAATCCAATTAGAATCCCATTATGAGGCATAATAGATGAACCCTTACTTTATACGGGCCCAGCATTCATTCATGTCACTTCACGTTATAGTAGTATGTAATTAACTGTATACTCCATTATTTGTAGTTCGTCTAGATAAAGAGAATTAATGGGTCATAATGATGCACATGACGTAAAACGACAAAGGCTAGCATGAATAATCACTCAATCTTGCTGAATTGGGTTTTAATTTCTCTCACATAAACTGGAACATGAACGAATAAATCAGTCTATGAGCTTGCCAAATTGGGTTTAACTTTCTCCCGCAGGAATTGCAGCATGTGTTCACGTTTCCAATTATCAATTCTGCAAAAGAATCAGACAATGAGTAAGTAGGGGCCTCCAATTTTTTCCCAAAATGTAAGCAAGAATAATGCAGATTACAAAATGGTTAGAGAGCCACTGTTTTCTAAGTCTTAAAAAGGCGAAATTTTAAAAGTCATCCTCAACTTCAATCGTATTTCTGCACAACATGTAGATCTGGAGGCTACCATTAGATTTATTGCATAAATAAAGACAATATTTCTTGGTATGGTTTCCTTCTAAGCAGTTTGAGGGTGAGAAAAGAGGGAGAAAACAGAAGCGGCAAGCAGGAGGATAAACATGATTGCATAATTGAATGTTCAGTTGGAGTACCAAAATTGTGAGCATTATCATAAGTTTGGCCAAAGTAATCTGTCCAGGTGAATTTGTCTTTATTCAGTGCATATTGCATCTCAATAGTCCAACATGAGCTATCTGCATTAATAGAAGAACCTAACCTTATAGTTTCCTTATGTTGGCCCTCATCATCCAACATGATCAACTTGGGAGGAGAATTGAAAAGATATTGAACTTTAACAGTTGCAAACTTTTCCTTCTCTTCTTCAATGAAACCAACAATTTCAGGATAGAATACCAGTTTCCTCATGCACACCTCCACTATTGCACCTGAATATGTAATCTGCAATTGCACGAATTTAGATGTCACTTAAGAAATTTGGGAAAAAAAAGCACATCATAGCATGCAGTACCAGAATTAAGAAACAACATATATTCCCACTAAAAGATGACAAAAAGGTAATTGATCACAATCAAGAAAGAACAGATCATTTTCTTTTTATATATCAGTATCTAGAATTTAGAAGCTATATATTCTGCAGTCCCGTCATCTGGTTCACTTTCCCCCTTGCACTTTTGGGATAAATATAATTCCCTTTTCTGAAAGAAAGGGGAAAGGAAAATCAGTGACAGGAAACTGACTTCTGCTAGGTTCCCCCATCTAGAACACAAAGGCATTTTGGATAGAAGATAAGACATGTTACAGGTTCTTCCATGCGAAATTCACTAAGAAACTTAAAACCCTTAATATTTACTGCAGTAATAAAATAGCATGTTTTATTATCAGAGTTACCTGCAGCAGTATTATACATGCTAAAGAATATGGTTGCTAGAGGTTCAATAACAATGTAAAAATTCATGAATTCTTTAGCTCAACAGCAACATTCTCCCTTTCCACAACTCTCAATCTAATCTGGGAGGAAACTGACTTCCACGAGGTGCAACACAGAAAACATTGCACCGAAAAACATTTTCTTAAAGTAAAAAATTAGAGGATGACAATTAAGAGAGATTTAGAAAACATACACTGGTGGTTGAAAATTTATTTAAGAATAAAATTTGAACACTCCCTGCACCAAAACAGACAGATCTCCAAAGCATGTTTCATACCTTACTAGTGGAATCATCCGAGTCTTCCGTGCAACACTTCAAGCAGTCAGATATCAACTCTGCAATCAAAACATATAGTTAGAGTCAGATTGATGCATGTAGCATTGAGTTTAATATTTAACTTAAACACGCCAGAACAGCTGTGTTCTTTAGGATCTCTAGTGTCACTCTTTTTTATTAATCAAATGCATTGCACACAATTGCGCTATGGTTCAGCAGACTCTTTGCCCTTTTACATGATAATATTACCATATCAATGAAAGCAACATCATAAGCGGTAGAATCACGAGGCAGTGTTATTTTGTACTGAAGGCACCATATAGTTCTATACTTCCATTCCTAAGGACTTAAGTTGCAAAAAAGGAGGAAGAGTACTTTTAGTAACAAGTATCAACTATAAAACTATACGTTTCTTCTTAACTATGATTTTCCTAAAAGAAACAAAATAGTAAAGCCAGACTTCCCTAAATCAAAACAAAGGATGTGGTATTGAAAACGAAAACCACTATACAAATTTAAGTTTTCGATAGATTCAGTGCCACAACTTGAGAAATTTGAGAAAAATTTATCTTAAACTCACAAAAGCTAATTCTTTTAACTACTCAAAGTTTCAAACTTTGCATTCACCTACAAAGATGCTTGATAAAAAGAATTATCATGATCACTTGAAATTTTCCCTTATACATAGAACTGCACTATTGTCAACCAGCAAAAGCATCAAAATTGATGCATCATTGCTCCCAATTTAAGATCAGACAAAGCCCTCTGATACAACAAAATCAAAGTTCAGATAGCAAAAAGGAAACCCGAAGAGAAAACGCTAAAACCAATCCACAGAATTGACCCAAACACTCGAAACCTTAAAAAAGTTCCAAAATTCAATCAAGCAAAGCGTTAAAACAGTACAAAATTGAAAACCCAAGTTAAAAAATATGATAAAAAGGTAGAATTTTTTGAAAAGGGAGTTGATTTAATACCTTTGTCCTTGACATACTCAGAAAAAGTGTTGCAATCAGAACAAAGGGCTAAACCAGTGAAACCCAGATCCTCACATTGCTTTGAGCTTAGCTGTTCTCCTGATGACGATACAATAACGGCGGCTGATGAAATTACAACAATTACTAATACAAAATAATATATTATGTTCCTCAACATCTTCTCTTTCTTTCAGAACTTCTTTCCTTTGACGAGTCTTCCTCCTCAGAGTTGGAAGTCTCTTCCCTGGAACAAAACGGAGAAGAAGTTCCAAGGAAACCGGAAGCTAAACGATGTCGTTTAGTTTGAAGACCAATTTGTTGTTAAAATTAAATTACATTTTTAAAGATAACAAAATTTAAGAAATGAAACTCTTTTTCAACTTTTCTTTCTGTTTTGAAAAGTTCAAGAAAAAGGAATTTTTTTAGAATTTAAAATAAATGATAATATTTAAAAAGTTAAAGGTTAAAATTTTAGCTTTATGAACAATTTACATTTGTTCATAGTCGTGACTTTCTTTATTTGCATTTACCTTTATTTTATAACAACTTTCAAAAATTTTGAATCAAAAGCCAATTAAACTATTGCTATCTTCCCATGCACGAATAAAGTCCAAGATTTAAATAAAGTCTTAATTCATTTCTTGAAACATAGTAAAAAGAGTTGATTTTATCATATTTAAAATTCAAATTTTAATATTTGTAATTTTTTATCTACACGATTTTTTTTATAACAAAAAGCTAATCTTAATTTTTTAATAATTAAAAAAAGCTTATTTCCATAGTTGCATGAATTTTTATGCAATTCACTTCAAAACTTAAATAGAGAACATTAGACTTTCAAGTTAGAATATCAATTAAGTTAGAATTTCAATTGTTAGAGGAAAAAAAAAAAAAAAGAAGAAAGAAATAGACTCCTCTCTGAACATCTTGCTTGGCTTGGCATTTAACACTATAACAATGGAAGCTTTGCAGCAAGCTACAGGCTGAACCATGCCAATCAAACAGCAAACATAAACTTGGTAGACAAAATATGCAAATGGAAGAGCAAAAAGCAAACAATTGAAGAATGAAATCATGCAAGTTCTGTATTTTTATTTACATATGGACAGGGAAAAATGCATTAGAAGAACATCCCCCTGCTACTTCCCCTTCTAGGGAGACTGGGTTTATGTTACATTATACACCTAGGTCGTTGCCAAAAACCTACCCGAGTAGCTCTACATATGACTATTTAAAAGCAAAAAAAGAAATTATACAATGAAATCTGAGGAAATAAATTACCCGAGTTTAGTGCTAGCCGATGATATCTTGTATAACTGAGGGTGAGGGTGAAGAGTTCTTGGCCTCACCACCGGTAGTATGTGACTTGATATATGAGCGGGCAACGTCCAACATTAACTCCACCTCTTTCTTGTACTACACAGAAAGACGGTAAAAAAAATTAGAATTCGGTCTCTTCAAAATTTGAGGCTAGTTTACTAAAAGAAGAAAAATGTTTTTGGAAGAATGGAATTCGTGATTATGATTAGTGAAGACCATAGTTCATCTACAGCTATACTAACCTCATTGATAGCGCCTGACTTAATTTTCGACTGCATCACACACCATTTCTTAAAATGTGCACCTGTAAAAATTGAAGCACCCCCTTAGTACAATTCAGTGATGTTCAGATCAAGAAAATGTAATTTTTGAAACTAGGTTAATTTGATGGGAAAGGATCCACTCTATTGCTTAAAGTGGTGGAGATGTTCACATATGCACCAAGAGCTAAATGTCATGTTGGTATAAATTGAAAACCATGCAAGGGAAAGCACACACAATTCTCTTCTTTTGTCATTCTTCCTTCATCTTTTGAGGTAAAGTAAAGGATCGAAAGACCATCTCCCAATAAGAGTTTTATTAGGAGCAGAATTAAAGCTGCCAGAAATATTTGTCGAGAGATGTCTCCGAGGGGACACCCCAGCAGCTAGATCTCAGATTGAACCCTTTGAAAGGAGGGATGGGATTTTATGGAATGGGAGAGGGCTACCTCCGTTGTGTGGCTAAAGAACCAATGTATGTACCGTAAACAAAGTTGTCAAGAGATAAAAAGCCAATAGAAAACCTACCCACTTTTATATCTAAAACAGATGAATTTTCACCATTGGTCTCTGCACACCATCGGCAATGCACCTGATGCAGCACCAATAAAATGATGTCTGTAATAATCTAGAAGCTAAAGGACAAATAATAGCTCAAAAACATGGGACATACACACATAAATAAGTAAATAATTCTTCCCAGAGGTTAGAACTTGGAAATGCTACTGGAACTGAAAACACAAATTTCATAATGGTATATCCAGCACATCATAATATAATGTTCAAGCATATAAGCCATCGCTACTATATTGGTCTAATCTTCATTGTACATAAATCTCTATTGCTGTTGCTGTTGAAAAGAAAGTAACCAGTTAACCTACAAAATGGGTCCGCTTGTAGCTAAGAGATCCGGCTACTCATTTAAATATTCACACTACAACAGGCTATAACACATGAAGTGAATGGGAGAACCTTTGCCCCTTGGTTGGCCTTCTTTGTTCTCCACTTTATATCAGCTAGGGAATAACAGGCAAGGCTAGAAAGTAGGTAGCAGATTATGATCAATACCAGTGAGGGTGATAAGCAAGTAATTTGATGAGCAAACATGGCAACAAAAGCCAGCAAGTGGACTAATGTGGCATTTTTCAAAAAGGAAAGTGCTTTCTGCAACAATATGTGCTGCAATTTCCCCTTGATTGGACTTAGGTGATGATATGTTTTGGGCTGTACATTTGGGACAGCTGAGTTGATGAGCATACATAATTCTAATGTTAGTTATAAGTGCATTACCTATCTTTGTTGGTACAGACACAACATGCATACAGTAGTAGAATGATTTCGATAAAAGGGTAGATTTAATCTGTTCCTATAAGATTGAAAAATCAATTTATTTTCCCAAAATTTTAGGACAATAAATGGGGGATGATTTCCTAGTAAATAACCAACCATAGTTATCTGTGATGTTTGTGAGATCAGAGCGTGATTTATTTATTCATTGGAGTAAGGAATCTCATCGGACCAGAAAATAATAGGAGAGAAGCAAAATAATGCTTGCAGTTACATGATGAGAGTACAAGGACCCTTCGCACAACAACAAAGTGGCTGTGGGATCTAAAGCAATATACTGCAATCCAAGAAGCAAGATGTCCAGCTAATATTTACCTCAAAGTAGGAGCCAAATGGAACATCATGTGCCTGTTGTACGGTTTCAAAAACCTAGAAGAAGAGAGAGAATTGGCTAAATTCAATTAAATGAAACAAATATGGAATCTACAAAAAAAAAAAGAAGATGCAAAATAGCCTAGTATATCACAAGCAATGAATTTTTTGACTAAGAAAGTGAGACAAGGTTAAGTTTATTATATAAGAATTGACAGAATGAAAGAGAAAGAGGTCATACAAGCTTTTTCTTATCTGGTGATAAAACAGAATGCTGATACTCTGTCATGGCAGTGTCTGGAGGGCACATGGGACTGTTACAAATGGACCTGAATGTTATCTCTCTCACTTGGCCATCATATTCATCTGCAGCATGCCACTGTCCCATCTGAAATCATAAGAGAGTCAGTACAAACTTTCACTTCATCTAACTAGCGAGGAAAAAATTCCTGGGAAGATTATCACTAGTTTCCATGAGGGACAAGAGGTCAAGTTCATATCATCCAAAACTTTGGAGATGTTTTCAGCAAGTAAAAGTTAATTATTTTTCAGTATTTTTCTATCAATTTCCCAGTTAAAACTCATCGAATGTATTCTACAAATCAATATATATGCTTTTAAAACTTGAGCATAGCAGCATAAAGTGCTCAATAACACAACAGACATGTTTAATAGAATAGGCATGGAGGAATACTAAAATGATCTTAGCTTACTGTAAGATTTGTATCCATCCGTGCTGAACGATATTCATTTGTAAAACTAGAGTCATCACTTAATAATAAATTATAAAACTGCTCAGCAGTGCATGGAAATACATCCTGCAGGAAACATTCATGAATCATAAATATACCAATTCACAACATAATAAAACCAGCAAAGGCAGGAAAAGATATGATGCATACATTGTAGATACCAACAAGAACCTCTTCTTTGACAAAAGCTTGTAATTTTTCGGTTTTAGATGCATTATCTTTGGGAGCTGTAGCTTGCTTTCTACTACCTCTAATAGAGCTACTGTGTGCACGCAATGCTGATTCTGCTCTCTCCTACATACCAGCAAAATAAATCAAATAAAAATTACCTCATTTTGATCAGTCGGTTTAGAAAGACAAAATTTAAGCATAAATACAAGCAAGCAAGAACAAAGACCAGAAACAAGGCATTATTATAGATCAAAAGGTGTCCTTTTTCTCCTAGCATTATACACATCAACAATTATCTACATGACATTTTATATTTGCTAAATAATGCAACATTTTGAAGAACGTACAACATCTATATTGAGTTGAAAAAAAAGGAGGTTACTCAACATTACTTCAAGCAAATTAATTGGGGTCTCCATAACATATCAGCGTGCCCTATGAAAAGGATCTTTCAGTGTTGGTCCTCCAATAATCATTACAGTCAAAATAATCAGTTAAAACCATATTTGACGAAAATTCAGCAATTCTTTGAGTTACTTGAAGTTCAAAATCTTGAAACCTTTACATAGTTTTAGTACACATTCTTCCGTCATTTCTCTTGCTTTTACTTTAAAGAAACATTTGTGAACACAAGCAAGTAGCAAAAGCAGCTAATGGAGCTTCTGTTATATTTGCATTCACAACCAATAGTATTCACTCATCACATTATCATTGATCCAACCATCTAACTTTGTATTCTTGAGTAGTTGAAACACATCATTGAGGCATCTCACTGGTTGTAACAGTGCCTTCTAAACACCATACTACATGCAGGTAAGGCCTTCTTTTTATGATTCAGCTTTCACAATCTCTTCAGTCACATATTTCCCACATGTCCTTGCTTCTTTTACATTTTTCATCCTACTTGTCACTGTATAATCCAGCATTTCCAACTCAGCCTATAAATATCTATTTACTGCACTAACATTTTCCAGTTTCTTATCATCTTTTCCACCTTCATTCCTTCAGCTCCCAGAGTATTCCTAAGTTCTCCTTTCCAATTCCCTCTCATACACAACTCTTCAGTTTTCACCCAATTCACAATCAAGTACCTGTTACAGAACGGAGTACCTATATGTGGCTTCTTCAAAATGCATTGGCAATTAAATTCTCTTCTCTTCTCTCTCTCTCTCTCTCTCTCTCTCTCTCTCAGCAGATGGCGAAAACAAGTGAATAAGATTCTTTCAAATTTAATACTAAATGAATAGTAAATGGCTCTTGTTTGGGCAGTGAGAAAGCATTCAGCTATAAATTTTTGCTGTTTATAAGGACGAGAAGAAAACTAATCTTTCTTGCCATGTCAAAATACTAATCAAATAATCAGGACTAACGTTAGGCTAAAGTTAACAATAAGACAAAGAATCAAAGAATAATTCACAGATCAGCACAAGCAAGAAAACCTTCTTTTCAGCTTCCAACATTCCATGGTAGTTCTTCGCTGCACGCTGTAATGCTCTTAGTGCATGGTTCCTGTTCCAAAATGATGCAAATTTATATCTGACTCTACCTGAAATCGGCAAAAGAAAAATAACAGCAACATAAACACTCCTTTATACTAAAACCAGAATCTCACTCTTTCAGAATGGAATTCTTCCTAATGATGTAATAAACTAAATTTGATCTTTAAAGGAAAGGATCTCTGAATACATAACTGAATAGAGTGGGGAAAAAACCACACATAAAGTACGTTGGCCAAAAATTACCCCCATAAAGTGGTCAAAACCTCACATTTGGTAAACTCAAGTTGACATCAATAAATCACACCAAACAAGGAAAGGATATAAAATTTAAAGACTAATTTGTAAATGATGATTTTTTTATCATGCTGATGGAAAAATATAATCACTGAGGTATGATGCTCTTTTACTTCAAAATATTGAAAAAATATAAATCCCTCAAGCTTCAAGCATTTAGGATAAAGAATTTAGTCACTCACCATCAGGGCTCCCTAATGGAGGTACACCATGCCCACCAGCACCCATCCGAAGAATAATTGTTATTGCAGGATTAATGAATGCATGCTGACTTCTACGTATCTGCATAAACCAAATGAAAATGATTATAAGCATTTATAATAATTCTTTTTTATGTCACAAAACAAACTATAATGAAGTACTGATCAGAAGAAGAACAAAGTATACCTCATCTATATCCCCGAATGGTATCGTCACCTATTATGTAAACAAAGATTGTTAAGATTTGAAACACTGAACTTATATTTTAAGTTTATAATACCATAGAAGATGTCAAAGCTACACAACTACTTTTACTATCTTTTTATAGTTTACTTTTTTACCCTTTAGCGAAGGAGGAGGATGAGGAGATTTTTGTGAAAAAGTGTGCATGTCTCTGGATTCTACTGTTAGTAAACTCACTATTAATTTCAGCATATCTTTTGAAGAGGTTACCAAAATTTAATAGGCTAAACCTAGGTAAATTATGCACCAAAATGGTAAGCTAACCTTCATTTGTTTGGAGAACACATTAGAATGGAAACAGATGTGCCATGCAGAGACATACATACGACCATGGTACAAGAATGATCTCTCAAGTGCACATGAATAACTATGCTCCACAACCTGAAAGAAACCATCTGTTAGTTAACCTGCAGCTTGAAGTGAAGAAATGGGATTGCCAAGAGCTCCTATTTGCTACTCTAACCATATCATGCCTAATTTATTTATAAATCATTCTTGTAACAACTACATTTTATGAGACTTGCCTCATCTGGAAGGAGGTTAAATATTGTCTGTAAAGGCCCTGGCTTTTGATGAACCACTGTCGGCCCTTGTTTATCTAAAGTAATCCTTCTTCGAGTATTAGCTCCAGGATATCCATTTATACCCCTGTCAATAAAAGTTCTCAAACTATTAAATGACACATAGAGACAATAAAAATAATTCCATCAGTATTTATCATTAAGTAGGATTAAAACAGAAAAAATAAATTGCATAACTTAACACAATTATTTTCATTTTCAGTGGAAATATATAATATATTAAAAGCTGCAAGATATACCTGGAAGAATGCACAGGGAGTTTTATAGTTTTAATATTTAGACAAACCTGAAAAGTGGTAAAGCTTTTTAATTGATCTTTATAAGCAGTAAGAAATAATGCAAAGGAACCAGAAAATTAAGTTTAAAACATAACTTAGGAATAATGATCACCTGTCCAGATGGGCTATCTAAGGTATGCCATACTGCGGTACTTTGACCTTCACTTTCAACTGGAATAGTAACTGAACCAAGAACTGCACTCTTCCAAATTATATCCCAATCATATATTGTCACATTTATCTGCAAGGGAGTAAGAAAGATTCTGTTAGATAAACCATACCACATAGGAAAATAAGGACTGTTAATGGAGGTGTCTTCATTTATTTTTCTCTTACAAATAGATCCTTCATCAAATTACAGTATTTCATTTTTTTTCATATAATTATGCAAGTCACTAATCAAATTACAATAAATAAAGGTCCCTTTGATCACAATGCCAAGAATTAGGAAAGGAATACTGACAGATAAATTATGAGGGACCATCATGTCATACAGCTTTGAACAGCAAAGATATAATCACAATTTGCAGCAGCAACTTGGTAGAAACAACTAAATGTAAAATTTTTACAACCAGGGATCTAGTGTAAGTCCAATAGAAAATAGCTCCTTTAAGCATAAATAATGCTCAAAGAATTTTTAACAATTTATTCTAAAGCATGGTTGATTTTCATCATTTAAAATCCCCATCAAGACAAAAGTAAAAAGGTTAAATGGTATTACACGTAGAGAAAGACAAAATAACAAAAGAGACCAGGCTTCACATTACCAGAATGAGACTAGGCACATGAGCTCCCGCATAAAATGCTTATCAAAGAATCTAAAAGAATGAAGAGTGCATTCCTTTTTACAAAGCCTTAGTCTCTCCCCAACACTTGGAATAAAAAATTATTCAAACAATCATACATCCATAGGCTAAAACCATACTTCAAAAGTTTCTATGCATCTGGCAGTCCAAAAGAACTCTCAATTTGCCTCAAGAATGAAAAAAAAATGTACATCAAAGCAAGAAGACTACAATAATGCTGCTTGCTGGTGATAAAATATTTCGATTTAAATCAAAAGCACATGAAGTTAAAATGGACCTAGAGGGTAATATAGAGCATACATGTTCCACGAAGAAAGCAAACTGAAAAATGTTCAAATGCCCATCTATAACAATAATAAATTATACTTTAAACCTGGACAGGAAGCTCATCTACAGAGAAGTTGAACTCCTCTCCCCACAAGGGGTTTCTTGAACCAGGGACCATCGAACTGCAACAGCAACACAAGTAAATTTGTAAGAAATGTAACACAATAGAGCTATTGTATCTCTTATAAAAATACTTCAAAAAAACAGAGGACTTATGTGGAAGTACAAAGGTATAGATGAGGCCATTTATGACTTCTCCAGATACAGCAGGATGGAAAAGAAATGGAATGGTTATTCTGTACAACTATATAATTTCAATAACTTAAGGCTCATACATGTATCACGTATATAGTTTCTCCATTTCATCTTAACATCTATGATACAATATTACCAATACCAGTCCCTACAACCAATGGATAACAACAAAAACAACACTGTTTCACTAGTTTTACTTCGTATTCTTCCCTATGTTTGTTCTTAAGCCTACAGATTTCAGAACAATTTCCACGCACCATGGCTGAAATTTCATAAACCCAATATGAACAAGGAAAATAATGTGCGCATGCATAATGCAGAAGGCTAAGGACTTTACTTGTTCCCAAATATGAACAATTGTTAAGCACTACTGTCCACTTTCGTTTTTGTTTGAAGATCAGCATTGTTGTTTACGTATAAATACTATATATGCATTTTCAAGAGTTCATAGAGTAGTAGTCATGTCAATCTGCAAGCAAACAATGCCATGGAATATCATTTGCCAGAAGTCTGTGACTCTTATATCTTATTCATAACCTAATAATAAGCAAATCTAAATAAACACTACAAAAATAAAAGCACCACAATTTGAAAGGATGATCACGAACCCATATGATATAAATGTTAAAAACCCCCTGAAACAGTAATTGTATATTCACCTTTACAACACTAACCTCAAAATCCAAAGAGACTTTTCCCTTAAAGAACCAAAAATGCAACCATATACCTAAAAATTTTGAACAAACATAAATTCTGAAAGGTGAATTTAAAAAATAAGTTTAAAAATCCTCATGATCAAGTAACTGGTAAGTGACAACCATAAATGGTCTAAAGCCAAAATAAACCAAAGTACAAGGTGTGATGGTACAAACCATAATAAGGACAAAAAAAGGTAATATGTTGCTTTTCACTATTAGTGCTTCACATTTATGCTACTTGTGTGGCTTAGTTGTAATCATAAAAAACTTAATCTTAGGTTACCAAATGTTGCTAAAAAAGTTAGGTCATCAACCTAGCACTGAAAAAAAAAAAAAAAAAAAAAAAAAAAACTTACCTGAATCTCTTTTCAGAACCACAAGTAATGATAGCATAAGGATCAGATGTGCCATTCAAGTTTGCACCAATGAGATTCTTAGCTGCCAGCAATTCCACCTTAAAAAGAAAGCAAAGATAGCCTCATTTTGGATTCAAAACATGACTCATGACATGAAATAGAATCCCCAAGTACCTTGATTAGATATGGAGAATTGGTCTGAAGATCTCCTTTCAACTGGACCATCTACAAAATAAGTGCACAACTGCATGTCAAAGAAGTGGAAAATTACTCCATGAAAAGAGCACACACAACATTGTGTATTACAATAGAATAAAATTGAAAATGTTCATGTTTACAGATGGCATTGAGTTAAACAGCTATCGCACTGCATTTAACAGACCTTATCAAAATTACATCTAATACACACACACACACACACACATGCGCGCACACACACTGAAAGTATCAAATAAACCAAAAAGTGTATGATGCCAAGCATAGAGATTGTTTTGCACTTCATCAGAGGAAACTCCGACAGACATCAAAATCAGTCTTCTTGCAAAGTTACCAGCAACAAATAATAGCCAACATAACAATTGTACTCTATCCAAGACCATATTGCCTCAAAAAATCTATAAAGTTCCACATAAACAGGAATAAGACTAGTAAACAAACCCAATAAAAATTCATAAAAAAGAAACTCTTAACTCTAAAAAGAATGAGCTCACAATATATAACAACAAAAACAAACTAAGCTTTATATCCCATATGAAACTGAATTGACGTTGACTCACTGCCATTAGTGACAATTGGCCAAAAAACAAATGCCATTACTAACAAACAATGAAAAAAAAAAAAACTTAAAAATCTACGCAAGAAAAATTCCAAAAAAAAAAAAAAGGATGTAATTGTTACTAAGTGAACAAAAAATGAACCAAAACACAAACGAAAAACAAAAGGCGCGAATTTGCCTTCACTCAATGTCGTCATCTACATGAAAAATACAAAAACAGATAAAATTCACAAAAAAAGAACCATAAAAAAATCCACTTAAAAAAATTCCATAAAAGGAAAAAGTCAAAGCATTGACCTTGTCTTTATTGTCAAGAATTCCATCAGCGGAATTCTCCAGAAGCTGCGATCGATCAGCGCCACCGCCATCTCCGCCTTGGAATGTAAAAAACCAATAAGAAACGATCACAAACAACGAAGCCGCCACCGCCACTTTGATCTCCCACCACGACGGCACCAAATACTCTACCAACACCGCCGTTTCAATCATCATAATTATATTTGTTTTAAAATTTCCTCTTTGTTTATTTCCGTAATTATTATTTCTATAAAATTAAATTAATAGAATTTAATCAACATTTTAGCTAGAATTTAAAAGGGTTTAATATTAGGGTTCTTTGATTTTAATTTTTACAGAGAAAACAAATTAGAAAGAAGCATTGCTTTGGCGAGAAAGTCAAAGACGGGCGGAGACCGTTGGAGGTAAAAATCGTTATCAGATTTCTTAATGACTTAAATACCCTAAAATTTTCCTAAGAATTACAGTAAATGTATGCCCATTTATTTTGTGGTTTTGGGGAGTTTGAGGGGTATTTTTGTTCTGTGAATTTGAAAATCATGACGCGTTGAAAACTAGTGTTCGCATGAAACAGAAGGGAAAGAGTTGACGGTTCGATAATGACTTTAATCAATGGATTAGATCATAGCTGACGATTCCTGTATTATCATATTTATTTTATGTTAAATATATATAAAATATAAAAATTATTAAATTATAATTTATATTAAATACATTTTTATTATTATTAATAAATTCATAAAATTTTTATTAAAATTTTAAATAATTTATTTTTACATTTTTATATTATTTTTTATGATTAACTTGTTGTGTTTAGAATTATATAATAAATCTATAAAATTACATTTAATTTTTTTCCTTTTTAAAAGTTATTATCATTATCATTATTTTATGAGTTTTATATTTATTATTTGGAAAATATTTTGTTTTATTATTTTAATTTTAAAACATGCATGAATAGATTTTTAATTTCACACAATTTCTTAAATTTATTTTTACTAACAAAAGAAATTAATAGAGAAAAGAAAATCTCGGATTTTAAGCTCTTATAAATAAATAAAAATCAAAAGTGTAGACATTTTCAAAAATCTTATTTGTCATAGTGATACAATAAAAAAAAATAGACAATTTCATATAAAATTGAATTTATATTTAATATATTATAAGTGTATAAATATAATACATTGTCAATGAATTTTAGAGGTAATAATGGTCGGATTAAATTAAATTTGGTGTGATTTTTTTGAATATTATATAATATTACAAATTTTTAAAATTTAATTTAAATTTGAATTGATCATTCATATGATCCAATTTAAATCGAATCAAATTTTATCAATTTTGTTTGATTTATCGATTTTTTAAATTTATTTTTTTATTTTTTATATAATATTTTAATATATTTAAATAAATTTTGATATAAAATTATTATTTTTATTATATAAAAATTTAAAATATTTATATAAACTAATAAAAAATATAATTTGATTTGATTAAAATTTTTTTTCACATTCTAATTGAAGATTTGATTCGAACCTTATATATATATATATATATATATATATTTGATATTTAAATTTAATCCAAATCGAATAAGAAAAAACCCATCTAAACCAAATTAATACAATAATTTCGAATCAATTTTTTATTTTCTCGATTTTTTTCACCCCTAATAAACCTTAGAACATACCTTATTAAAAACTAATTTTAAAATCTAAAAAAAAATACATTTAATTAAAAAATATATTTAAAACTAATTTCTTTAATAATATATTATGATGCAATTCATTGACTGTATATAATATTATATACTGACGTTACATTAAATATTAAGGTATAATAACTAATAAATCATGGGACAAATAAGAATAAGGCAAAAAAACAAAAAAAAAAACCAATAGAAACATGGCATGTATATAATGTAATGTAAATGTGGGTAGTTGTTAGCTAAAGCGGGAAGTGTTGGTTCCAACTTTAGGTTTACTACAACAACGTTAACTTCCTCATTTCTCTTCCTCGCCGCCTTCTTTTATTCTTAACATTTCCACTTCACTTGTACGTCCTTCTCTGCCTTTCACTTCCTTAATTTCTTCCTAGATTATTATGCACATCTTTGTACGTACTTTTATACGTATAATAATACTATTATGTGAAGTTGGTTTTTGTTTTGTTTTCTTTTTTCCTTCTATTTTTGTAGTTAAAAGCTGACTTTACTGTTGTTTGTACTTCATTTCTTTGTTTTAACTGTCTAGTTTCTTTCTTCAGCTTAATGGCTTGTTTGAATTTAGCTTGGAATGCTTGTCAAAATGTTTTTAGCTGCTCTACTTGCATCATTTCTTGTTACCTTTGTATGGGGATGTGTAATGTATATATGTGATGATGCATGGATGTTGGCATGAGTTTTTCTTACATGGTGATGATTCATGATAGCTGAATAATTTATGGATGAATGGGTGAATGGTGTGCTAGTGACATGGGTCTTCCTTCTTTGAACTTTTAAGGTTGCTAGCTTTTTATATTTGAAGCTAGTGCTTTACTGCTTTCTGGGTTTTACTTTCTTCAGTTTTTGCAAAATAGGTTGTCTGAAAATTGTATAGTCACGCCAGTCACTGAATGCTGGAAATTGTTTTTAGTTCTCCATTGTAATCCTATAGTTAGTTCTAAATTCAATTGAGCTAAAGTGAAGGCTGTACAAACATTGCAGTAATTGATTTTTTTTCCTTTTAAAAATCAACATTGCAATGTCTGAAACAGTTTCTGAAAATTGAAGAATTCAGTCCTTTGATATGTTACTGAAATTTCGAAAATCTATTAAGCAATGACATACAAAAAAGATTTTGTCTGACAGACAAATGGACACAATTTGCCTTGTAATCTACATAATCACTTGTCTCTATGTATCTTATATAGTCATAGGAAATGAATAATGGTATGCATTTGATGGCTTCTGCATTAACTTGTACTTGCATATCATTCCACTGCATGTATCTTGCTTGATCTTTCCTCTCTCTCTCTGGCGCATGCTCGTGTGCATGCTTGCTCATTCTCTTGCTCTGCCTCTTTAGTATACAGCATCCACATTCTCTATGGGCAGGTGTAGTATCATGTTGATGATGACAAATTGTAATAGAGTTACAGACATGATATATGTCTATTATTCCTCCGCAAATTGACCTCTGATTTTAAATATTTCTAATAAGTTTTATGCTTCAAAACCTTCAAGAGGGGAATTCTATTATTTCATTTCTTTCTTTGCTTTTTTTGCCTGGTCAAAACCTTTTATGTGCTTCTTGCCTTATTTAATTCTGGACTGAGCTCAGAAACTAACTGTTCCTCTTTTAGCTCATACACACTTTATTTTGGAAGATTTGAATTTTATAAGTTTAACAAATGCTGGTTTAATCAGCTTCAAGGTGAACTATGAAGGAGTTTTCTTCAGCGCATTGCTTTTTGGTAGTATGACCGTTGTGTGGCTCCTGCACAAATACTGATGGATGTTAATCCAGTTAGTAAACCACATTGTATTGCAAAAGCTGCAGTTGACAAGGAGAAGAAGACTCCCTTGGAAAGCTCAGATGGGAAGAATTCAATGTGCATGAATGCTAAGTGCGAGGAGAGCATCAAAAACATGGGGGTTCTGTTGCATAAACAAAATTCGGCTCCCAAGAGTCCTGAGGACGTCGAGATTGATATAATTGGATGCACAAGTAATAATGACATCAGAACAGTTCAAACTGAGGACCCAGATGCAACTGAATATTCGAGTTCTTTCGCCAACACTACATCTGATACTGAGAAATGTTCTGGATTGAATGATGCTGAAGTGGAATCCCAGTTCGTTGGTGATGCTGCTTTTGCATCTGCTTATGAAGCATTTAGTAGTGTGTTTCATATGAGGTGTGCTTTTTTTCCATATTAATGGCCCTTTTAATCATTATATGTTTGAGCATTCAAATATTAAAGTCTAGTGCAATAACTGTAGTTGTCTTGTTTCAAAGCCTAATATCGATATGAGTGTAAGTTATAAGATACTTTATTTTTGTCATAGGCTGATGATATATACATGCTGTACAACTTTTTTCTTGATGTGCTCGATGCATGTTTCTAATTAGCAATACACTTAACTTTTTAATGTTTCTCCTTTAGGAAGAAAAGGTTGACAAGTCATTGGAGGAGCTTCATTCGACCTCTCATGTGGCGCTGCAAATGGACAGAACTGAGAATCAAAGAAATTGAGTCTCAAGCACTAAAATACACCAGAGAACTTTCAGCATACGATCAGAGAAAATTTTCAGGAACTGATCAATCTACATTGGAAGGTCTTGGTTCAAGGTCATTGCCATTTTCTAGTCAGTGTAACCGTAAAAAGGCCTTAAAGCGGAGGAGACGAAAGAGAATTGAAGAAACAACTGATATAATGTCGTACATGTCAAGTCATAACTTATTCTCCTATCTTGGTATGAGCTATAATTGTGGTTTAGGTGTTTTTCTCCTCTCTTCTTAACCCCAGTGTTCATGTGTGATTTGCTTCGTAATATATTGCAGAAAACAAAAAAACCATTCCAGATGGCACTTGTATTGCTGATGATTTTTCCAATACAGGTAATCATTCTCCCTTATAATGAATCTGTTTTTTGCTTCTTAACCTGTGAAGTTGATCTTGGCCAATGCTGAATGCTATCTTTTGATTTTAGTTTCTTTGCCAATGCTAATGAATCAGTTTCTTTTAGTTTTGGTTTTGAAGTAGTCTTTTCATTACTTGGTGCAGCCAATATGGACCAACACACTGATTGCAATGATAAATTTGATATTGATAATGATCCATTGCTTTTGGAGTTCAGAGATGGGAACAATTCCTTGGAGCAAGTCCTGTGGAAAATTGAAATTGTGCATTCTAGGGTTCAAAAACTCAGGAGTCAACTTGATCTGGTGATGTCCAGAAATGCTTCAAAGTTTTCTTCCTCGGAGAATTTGAGCCTCCTTGCAGCTGGTGATGCTCAAACCAGCTCTGCTCCTAGCCTTACGTTTTCGGCTGGCAACGGAGACACAGTATCAGCCGGACCAGCATATAATACAACTCAGCAAATTTCAGAATATGATGTTGCAGATCCCATTAGGCCTGCAAGTGCTATTTCGAGTTATGGGGAGGCTTTCCATGTTCCAGACATAATTGAAAGCACTGTTGGATTATTGTCATCTGCTGATGTTACCTGCCATCAGCCACAAATTGGAGACTCATGTGAAGATGTAAGCATTCTTAACATACAAAACTTACATGTAGATTGGTGGCTCATGTTTTACCATATATGATAATTAAAGCAATCCTGTACTTCTTGATATTAATTATCACAATTGAGAATCCATTATTTTTTTACGAATGATATTTGCAGATTGTGGAAAATGTTCTGATAAAAAATGAAGGAAATGCTGGAGATAGACAGGTTTTAATTAGGACAAACAGTGAACCTATGAAGCAACATCATCAACCAAAGAAAGGTGAAGAAGAAGAGGGCACCAATCCTTCTCCTATTCCAACATCAGAACCTATTCATGCAACAAAAAGCATGGTGTGCACCAACCCTTCTTCTATTCCAACATCAGAACCTATTCATGCAACAAAAAGCATAGTGTCTCAGGAGCAATCAGCTTTGAGGTCATGTCTAGCCACAGACATCTGTTTCCCTAAGAGCAAAAGAAAGCGAGGGGATCGTAAAGCTGGTTCTGGTGGTTGGAGCAAGAAACACTCAGCTGAGCCTGATAGCCAATGACTTCATTGAAATTTGATGGTTCACTAAGCTTAGTCTTAGATGGCCCAAAAATTTTCTGCTATGTCAATCACAAAGGCATTCAATGGGCACTGTAAATAAAGTACCGTGGTCTTGATGCTCTAGATATGTTCAACTGGAACTCCTAGGCCTTGTTTTCTTTTTTTTTTTTGGTATGGCCATAGACTGGATAGGGGAAAGAGTTGCAAGTGCTGGCATTTAAAACCCAGACCATTTCCATGATGATGACGATAGTCTGTAAGCGAAAACTAGTGTTATGATGTAGTTTCTTCCAGTTCAGATTTGCTGACACCATCAGCTACTTCTCCATCCCAATTTTGCAATGCAACTTTCATTGAATTGAACGACTGATGTAAATTCAATAGGCTTTTGTGCACTCCAATCTGTTCAGTGGCTGAAGCAAATGAGCTCCCCAAAGTTGAAAATAATTGTATGCCTGAAATCTTGGTTATATAGATGAACGAATTTATCATTTGAGTCAATCTTACTTGAAAGTCGATTTCATATGAAGCAAAATAACATGATTTTGCAAAGATGAGATAAAAATCATAGTTGGGAAAATCGTGTTCTCCCAAAACTTGAGAAATTATAATCCAAAAAATAATAATAATGGAGTTGAAACTTGAAACTGGAAGAAGCTGTAGCAGTGCATGCTTCAAAGGGTGGGGTCACAATGCCAACACTCTGAAGCGTGTCAGCAGCTGCACGTGTTGCCACTTCACCTGCCTCTGAACTCTGATGTAATGTTTGCATACTTTCTTTTCACGTGATGTTGCACTTCAGGCAAGCAGAACACAGAGGAAAAGACAACCTGTTTCTTTCTTCTTCTCCACTTCTTTTAATTGAATTTAGATTTTTGGCTAGAACTGTTAAATTTTATGCGGATGTTCAATCCATATCTCAAATTAATTTACATTTAAGGACAATGTACTTATTGAATATCATGTGTAGGGATGATAAATTATCTGTGGGATATAAACTTCGTATCATAGTAATAACACATCTAATACGGAACATGGCTTACATATGACATCAAAGTAGACACATCACCTATGTAGACAACCACATCAACACCCATGAAACATAAAAGGGAGTTCAAAAGAACAAGCATGCAATTACTCCACTCTCTATTGCTCTATTCTTTTCTCCCGAGTGTTTCCTTCCCATTTCTTCGTATACGCCTCAAAATCTTAACTCTGACGCTCTCTGACCTTATCTTTCACAAGTTTAATAAGTTTATCAGTTCAGTCTCCAGCAAGTCTTGCTTCCATCTAGTCCAAAAATACCTTATCAATTTGGCATCTTACCAGGACTATCAAACGGGTAGAATTTGCATCTTTACGACTTTCAGGCTTGAAATTCATTGGCTAAATTAAAACAGTAGAATCAATTCTTTTGAGCAAAAGTAGAAGATGGCAAGGCAATCTTTAGAGTGCGGATATTTTTCACTTGACTTGAGTAAGTTCAGTAAAGCTTCCAAAGTCTAGGAAGTTGTCAATGACTTTTATAAGAACCCCTTTCTTTTTTTTCCATTGTGGGGAGCTCTTATTTTACATCCAATCCAAACCCAAGGTGGACAAAATCATTTCCATGGTCTACAATGTACAAAAGCAAAAGATGACTGGAAACCCTGGTAGTATCTTTTGACCCACAAAAGAAAAATGTCAGGCTATGGAGCAGGGGCTGATCATGGCTCCAAGAACCAGAGAGGGCCATCCCCAAAAAATTTTTGAAAGCCCCAACTATATATATACATATATATTAATTTATGTTAAATAGCCTTAAAGTGATCATTTCCTTTTTGAATTAGTTGCATCAAAAATGAAAATATTGTAAGTTTAAGGGCAGTGTTCTTGTTGCATAACATATCCCAATGGACTTAACAAAGTATTTAATTTGTACTGAAAAAATCTCTCTAATCCAACACCCTCAATCATCATGTTTGTTTGCAGCAGCTTTTGGAGCACCACCCACAAAGGAATCATGATGCCATCCATTGAAAAATTATTTATAACAAGATATATGGTAGATCTTACAAAAGAAAAAGCCCTCCACTTTGGTGGATTTTAGGCATATAAAACTCATGATCTGAATTTTCAGGCTCATACTTTAACAATGCCATGAAAGGCTAAATCTTTTGTTAAATCATCAGAATTGCTCTCACTGTGATGGAAAGGCTAAAACAGAACCAAATTCATGGCCATTTTAGTCTGTAAAGATAATTGATGCTCATTTGCCTATTGTTAGCTTAAAGCATTTTTATATTAACAAAATGCATTTTGGTCTTCTATTAACTAAAAGTTTTCAAATACAAAATGAATAATATTTTACATGTTAATTACGAGTTTTTTAATCTTTTGCTATTATATATTGGCAATTTATATATATATATATATATATATATATAGAATATATAGTTGTTGGTGGAACCATTTCATGATTGTAACAAAAAAGGAATCTTGAGAACAATATTATGAAACCCAACTTGGTAATAATTATCTTAATGTGCTCAAATTTTGTGTTATAGGTGAAATATGAACCAAACCAAAATAGGTGTTTTCACTTTGATCCTCCATACCATAATTCTTCTATCACAAAGGCAGGCCAAGCATGTCCATTAATAATAACCCCAAACAATCTCACTTGCTAACAATAATAAACTTTGGAGGAAAACATGATTATAGGAAGTCTAGATGCTTTCTAATGCCCCCCAAAAGTGATAATTTTGGAAAGGATTTCAAGGGTATTAGAGTAATTGTATTAAAAAAGTAACAATTTCACTTTGGCTTTGAATTTTGGGAAAAAAAAATCACTAGGAATCATGTCTGCCAAAGGAAAAGAAAGAGGGCTGTAATAAAGAATGGAGAAAAAGAAAAGAAGCACATTGCCAACTCTTCCATCTTTGAGTCATCATCCCAACTTGAAGGCCAAAGGCTTTTCCCTCTCTCAACACAGATGAAAATTCCCTGTTTCCTGTTCTTTGCTCAGCTATCTCATACATCATTCTTCAGCTTGCTTTGTTCATGCAAGATTCAAAGAACTCCCACACAAGGTAAAAAAATGCTCCCTCTCTCTTCCTGTTTTTTCTGCTTGTACCCCAAAATGCTGTAAAGAGCTAAAAAAATGCTGCAATATTGCTCAAATCACTTCAAACATTCACCATAAATTGTTATTTTTATTAGTACCATATCGTCTGGTTTGCTGTAAATTTTTTATGTACAATATCATATAGCTAGGACAGTGAGTTAGTGACAATAGATAGGATGATATGTTGTTGCCAATTCTACCAGAAATTGAATTGATTCGTTCCCTTCCCTGATTTAAAACTTGTTGAGATTGCCTGACAAGTTGCATAGAAGGGTAATTGAATGTGCTCTGATTTTCATGGAGTTGAGCAAGAATGTTCAAAATCAATAGACCATGCAGCTTAAGCGCAATTGTCCACAAAGTGCTTTGCTTAGTGGGCCTATATGTTTAGTTGATTTGATCCAAAGTACCAAGTTGAGTCAGTGGTTAGGCCTTCCGCCTGGGTCAGAGAACCAGCCTAGAGGTTAATGTTCAGCTTAGGCTGCAGGAGTTGGGCTGAACTTAGGTCATGCTAGTACAATCAATTCTTCTTGATTACTTTTAAGCAGGACTTGGGTTTAAATGTAATTTTGCATAGAATAGATGAAATGAAAATACATTAGCCCTGATCAGCGAAGATGCATGTGATCTCCCAAAAATCATTGCTAAGCTTATTTGTTAATATCATCTAGTTTTAATTTTTTTTTCCTAAGGGAAGCTTTTTGCTTTTTTTGGAAGAAAAATAAGCGAAAAATAAAGCTATTGGATGGAACAACTTCAGCGATTTTGAATTTGTTTAGGCTCCGTTTGCGTGATGTTTTTGCTAATCATTTATTTTTTAAAATATTTTTATGAATTTTTAGTAATTAATTTGACTCATTTTTGTCACAATGTTGTTATAAATTCCTCTGTATTCAAATTCTTTTTAATTATAACCTACATATGTCTATATATATCAAGTGTTGAAATTGTCGAAAGACAACTATGAATTTTACCTGTATTTGATATTATGTAGCTAATGTTGGAAACTTGGCAATTGGCATGGACAAATTTAGGTGTTAGACCATATTAAAAAGAGTTATATATTAAAGTATATATGTTGAATTGGTGCACATGCACATGCAATAATTAGTAGAGTTGATGGTTTTGCTATTGGCATTTTCTGCAAAATTCACAACAATTTTCCAGTGAATTCACAAAAACATTTTGTTCAAGATTTCATGCTTTACATGCGCTTGTTTTTCCATAGGAAGCCTTGGTATCAAAGAGCAATGGAGAGGGCTACCGTATGGAAAACTGTTCCAAAGGCTACCGAAGTCCCTACTACAAATGTTACACTGTGGAAAACCATTTCCAAGCCTACCGAAATTCCCATGGCGAATGCAACATTATGGAAAGCGATTCCCAAGTCCGGTGAAATCCCATCAACTCATCCCAATAGAGAGAAGCTAAGGAAATGTACCTCCCTAAGGGTTGCCACTTCGTTTACTAGGGTTTGTCTATGTGCACCAATCTCTTCCTACAATGAGGTTTTTCGAGCCGATGTTCCTCCTAGAAGAAGCAACAGTTACCCTAGGTCAAAGCCCTTTCCCCTGTCACAAGAAAGGATACCTAGCGCAAGGCTAAGCACGGAAGGAAGAAGAGTTTTTCGCGGAAAATCTTTGACGGATGATGTTTTGATGAGGAGATTTGTTGTGGAAGAAGAAGCAATGATGCAAGTTAGGAGGAGGAACCAAATGGAAGTGATAAGGAGAAGAAGCATGCTGAGAAGGAAGATGCTTGGCCCTAGTCCTCTTAGTAGAATGGTAAAGGCTGAGGAGGAAGAAAATTTTTAATTTTTCTCTTTTTTTTTTCTTTTCGAAATTTTACCCATCATTGCTCTTTAATTTTTTTGATTGGCTAAATTGTTTGTACTTTCCTATGTGCACTTGTTGCTATTTAATCAAACAATTCCAATGGTGGGAAAATTCTACAAATATGCACAAAAGGGATTCAAAATTCAAATCTTGCTCTTCAAGTATGGTTTATAATTTAAATATCATTGAATCAAATACTCAGGTATTAACAAAAGTCACTTTTCAATCGATAACTCTCAGCAAAACAAATTTTTTTTAATAATATTTATATCTTTGAATCACTCAACTTGCTTAAACGCCACTCTAAACAAAATCCAATCTGAACTTATAGATCAAGGACGGTAGTTATTTAATCTATATCACACTTAACAGGTTAGGTTATTTTGTGAGTAACAATGTCATTTTAATGCTTTAGAGTGTTTCTTTCTTTTTGCCTTTTGTCAACAACCATTTTGTCTATAGCTTCAGTATGCTTTCTCCTTTATAATTGCTATAATAATGCTTTCTTTATTCTACCAATCTGAATGTTATGTTTTCCCTCGTAATTATCATTATTCAAAGTTGAAATTTCTTTTATTTATTTTTATAGCACTGAAGGAAGTTTAAAATCAAATCAATTTTATTTATAATCTGTCGATTTTGAATTATTTCAGATTCGGATTAATTCAAATTTAGATTGAATGAATTCATTTAAATAAATTGAACAAAATTTTCAAGTTCGAATCAATTTTACCATACACGGATATCTTCATTAAACAAATAATATTTAGTAGCAAAAAGAAATATATTTGATTGAAGTAAAAGCTAAATAATAAAAATGCAAATTGGAGTGTTTCTCTTTGATTTTGAACATATTCTTGTGTGTATCGAAAAGGGTCATTAGGTTAATTAGATGGATAACTATCTCACGTGGTCCTCTTCTCCCCTACTCTTAGCATTTGTTTGCATAATTGCAAAATTAAAGTTGCGAGTTCAATGAAATGATTTTGGGATCTATTGTTATGATATTGGAGTTAATACTTAAAAATTACAAGTTCGAAAGAATTTATATATGTAAAATCTCTTTAACTAGATACAAATAAGGATAGGAGGGTTCAAGAATAAATTAAAAATTAAAAGGAAATGTGTTTGGTGAACAAAATTTATAATTAAAAATCTAAGCTCAAAATAGCATGAAATGTTGCCAATGTAGGTAGATCTTTAGTGGAGAGGAGATGGTTAATTAAGGCAAGTAGAATATGAGTTCTAAAACCAAGCACATGTTTCCAAAAGATTATGACGATATGTAATTTTTGAATTATGAATTTGTAATTAATGTGATATTTATTTTTAATATAATTAATTTTAAATCATGATATGTAATGAGTAAATTATCTTTTAAATATCATGTTAGTTAATATATTCATAATTTAAGTACTATATTAAAAAATTTTTAAATTTAAGTACAACATTAAATATTTTATAATAGTTCAGGGATCATTTATAACTAAATTTGACAATTCATATCATCGTATTATATAAAATATTATATTTATATCATGTTTTATATGAAAATAACATATCATAATTTATGTCAATACGAAAATATAAAATATAATTTTTTTATTTTATTAAATTTATTTATGATTTTTTTAAAATTTTAAATTATATTATCTCCGTATCTTTTATTCGTATTATTTTTTTATATCATTTTTATTTTATCATATTTTAAATTGTCATATCTATTTATAACATTAATTCAAAAAAAATTTCCTTTGACGTAATGGGAATCTATCATAGACGATAGAATGTTTTAGTGGAGGATTCCAAATTGACATAATGATGAAAGGCACTTTACCCTGCACATGTTTCATTTCATTCTTAAGAGAGAGACAACTATTTCACGTAGCCTCTGTCTCAGGGTTTTGTTTTTTCAATTCAATGAAAACAACTTTCAAACTCATAACAAGCACATCTTTATAATGATTTAATGTGTTTGAAGATTTTTCCTTTTCTCATCTCCCTCAAAATCTCTTAATTTTCCCAATGTAAATTTAGCTCTCAATAACAAAGGTGATCATAAATTTCTATAAATTTAAATGATAATTGTTTAATATTTTAAGTTGAAACCCAATTTTATAACATTCAAATTTGATTTATGAAGGAAAAAAAATATGAATATATGATTCAAAGATCAAATATCGATGTATTTCAATTTGATTTTGTATTATGCTGATTGATGATTCATTATTAATGCTAGTTTCGAATACAAAATTTATATAATTTATAAATAAATTTGATAATTTAAAATATGATATAAAAAATATAAAAATAATATAATTTAAAATATTAATAAAAATTATATATAAATTTAATAAAATAAACAAATATATATTTTATATTTTTTTTATCAAAACAAATTATAATGTGTAATTTTTACATTTCTGCCCTCCTAAATTGTATTGCACACCGCTCTAACGTGCTCCTCTGAATGTTAAAATTTGAAACATATAAAATTTTTTTTTTTCACCCAAAATTTTGCGAGATCAATCACAATCTTCAGTGATTCTACTACTATGCAGATGTAAGGCTGACATCAAATGCCCCCAAATTGGAGTGTCTCTGGCCCACATCCTCATCCATGAGGTTCACCCCACATGATCATTTTCTCCATTCTATTTCAAGACAAAAATAAATGCTTGAGTTGATTATAGCCCCTACTGCAATGAATGGCAGGTGCTGCACACGCTCCATTGCTGACAAAAAAGTTGAACGTTGCAATGATGCAATTGTTTCTTTATGATCATTATCATCAACAACCATATATATATATATATATATATATATAAGTAGAAATTCCCTTATCATACCGTTAGTTAAGTTTCAATGTTATCCAAACATATTAAAAAAATAGATATTACCATTTTTTATTTTACTTGAACTGTTTAATTTGTTTGATAACATTAGAAACGATTTTTTTTTTTTTACGAAATCCGAATTCGAAAATAAAAAAAATTAAAAATATAAGCAAATCGAACTATCCATAGATTTAATTAGGGTTAAAAAAATTAAAAAATAAAAATTAAAAATTGATTCGAAATAATAATTTTTGATTCGGTTCAATTTGACTCAAATTTTTTTTATTTAATTTAAATCAAATTTAGATATTAAATATATATATATTATATTCAAATTAGATTTTGAATAATAAAGTAAAAAATAAAAAAATCAAATCAAATCTAATTATATATATTTTTTAATTTATATATTTTAAATTTTTATAAAATAAAAATAATAATTTTATATCAAAATCTACTTAAATAAATTAAAATTTTATATTAAAATAATATATATAAATTAAAAATTTTAAAATTAATAAATCAAATTCGATTGGTTTAAATTGAATGAATATTTGATTTTGATTTTGATTAGATTTTACTTTTCATAATATAATGAATATTAAAAAAAAATCAAATCAAATTTGATCTGAATCGAAATGTTATCACTTTTAAATTTAATTGATAGTTAAAATTAAAAAAAATTATAAAAAAAGAATAATTACACGAAGATTGAAGAGTATTATGCTTATTTTTCATTATGACTTGAGAAGATGATATGTATCATGCTTATAAGTTAAATGTAAGCAAATCGAACAATTTCATGATCGTCGGACCTAATTACCATCTGATCATCATAAAAAGGTCGAAGTTTGGGATTTATTTAATAGCGTAATGAAAGGAATTTTTATTATATTACTGAAGATTCAATAATTAATTTCACTTGATTCTTAACTTTCTGTTCCCATGTACAAAACCATCAATGTAGTGTTAACTTGCAAGATGAACTAACTTATTGAGATGCATATGAACACGATTATTGAACAGAAAAAAAAATAAAGAAACAAAGTACACTGCTTTTGGTGTTTAATGCAAGAAATGTTGAAAGTGCAAAGCAGTTGGAAAGAAAGAGGGCAAGTGACATGTTGTTGACCCAAACTTTGGACTTTGAACTTGACCCAAACTTAACATTTGGTTTAAGAAATCCCAGGGTTGAATCCAACAGACAACACGGCCTGTATTTTGGATGAGAATTCATTGTCTTTGCCTTACAATTTTTTATGAGAATTAAAAGATTATTATACCAAGTCAAAAGCAATTAAATTAAACACCCGAAAAAAAAAAAAATTCAGGACCCCCCCAAAGGCTTAATTTCTTGTTGGCTATGCCTGAAGTGGACCACCCTCAACGCTAATGATGGAATTTTTGAAATAAAAATTTGGGTTGCTCCAAATTAAATTCCTTTAAAAGTTGGCCAAACCCATATCTACTTTTAACACAAAAAATATAAATAAATAATCATAATTATAACATTGGATAATTAAATATGAAATATAAAATTTAATTTAATTAATTTTTATAATTGTTTTTAAAAAATAAAATTTAAATTTTAACGTTATCTTTATCTTTAAATTAAGATTTTTTTATAAAAAAAATTCACCATGATCATACAAATTCAACAAATCTGACATTAAAATATTATATATATATATTTCAAATTATAATTTAATTTGTTATCTGAAATAATTGACTGTTTCTTTTTTTTTTTTTTGTTTGACAGGGAAACACCCCGACATAGAATCCATATTATAAACACATTTTATAAATCAAATTGACTGTTTCTTATTATCGCGTAAAACGGAGCGCGTGAGAACAGACCTTAAAAAACCTTTTTCTTACGACTGTTTTTTTTTTTTTTTTTAAATTATAGATAAACATGATAATTTATGTATTTATAATATATAAAATATTAAAATTTATATATTTATATAAAAATTATGTATTATAATACATATAGGTATAAAAATTTTAAATATAATTTTTTAATTTTATTAAATTTATATATAATTATTAATAAAATTTAAATAATATTATTTTTATATATTATTTTTGTATATTCATACGTTATCATATCATATTTTAAATTATAAACTTAATTATATTACTATTTGAATAACAAGTTGACTGGAATGCTTAAGACAATGCTTTTTTGTTTTATTTCTTTTTTTTTTTTTTCTATTATATTTTTTTGAGTACTTAATTTTTTATTTTTATATTTCAAAATAATTTTTAAATTTTCTGATTAAAATTATAAAAATTCAATTTATAAAAAAACTAAAATTTTAACATAAAATAACTTTATAAAAATCAAATAAAAATATGATTATGTTATTAAGAGAATGGTAAATGCATTTTTTAATTATATTTAATATATGTAATAAAAATATGCATTGCTTTTTTTTTTTTTTGAAAATAACCTCTATTTCTATATTAATATTATAGTAATTAAGAAAAGGGTAAGAGTACCAAGCCAAACCGTTTAATTCAGTGGGCATGGTTGATGTCCAAGTACCATAAGTCTTCCCATTCAAGTAAAGGTAGTTGAAGTTGGGCGGCACATTGAGTGAGAAAGTGGCCAACCCCTCCCTTTCTCTCTTTCTTTTTTACTAATTCTAATGTCATCATCATGATCAACAGCAACCCTTTGATGATTTTTCTTTTTTAAAAGAAAATACACTTCTAATTATAAATCTGAAAGGTGGCAAAAAGAAAACAAATGTGGTACAATTTCATACCCCCAAGCTACAAAAGCAAAGAACCAGATTCAAAGTTATAGAGATAGAGAGAGAAAGAGACAAATAACCCAAAAAAAAAAACAAAGAAAATTAAAGCCCTCCATGTGTAATAAAAAGGCTTGGAATATAAGAAAATTTAATAAAAACAAGCATGTTGTATGGGAAACCAGAAGAGGGTAGAGAGAAGAAAAAAGGGTCTTCTCTGGCTGGCTGCTACTAGTCTTCTTTTTTCTAGCTTCTTATAACTCAGCTTTTTCAAGGGTTCGGTTCAGAATTTGGAATTTTGAAGCTCTTCATTTAAGGTACGTACATGTATTATCCTTTTATATTTTTTTTATTTTTTTATTTATATAAAGTTTGGGGTTTTCTCAATTATGTTGTTCATGATCAAGGTAATCCTTTTTTTTGGATGTGTGTTGATTATGTTCTTGGGGAAGGAGCAGATAACTATAATTCTCAAAAAGTGAGCTTTTTTTTTTTTTTTTAAGGTATGTTGTGTTTTAATATTAACAATTCCTGTCTCTAGATCTCTTTTGTCTAAGTGTCAGATGTTGTTTTCCTGCAAAATTGTTGTCTTTTAATCTTTAAACTGCGCATAATTTTTTTTTGGTAAGTATTTTATGTCCTCAAACCCAGCAATTTCAGAAAATATAAAACCCTCTAGTATTTTAAGTAGTTTGTGGTGATATTTTTTGGTTCTGCTAAGAGAAATTTAGCATCCAGAAAGAAAAGTTCTTGAAGTTTATGCTGATTGTCAAGGATTCATAAATTATTTTTTTAATTAATAAAAAATGAAAAATTTATCTTTCATGGGTGTTTAACAAAACAAGATTTTTTGGACTTTTGTGTCTGTTTGTATACTTCTGAAAGGGTTTGTATATTTGGACTGATATATTAGTTGTGACATTAGCTTGGAACCTTCATTTAAGAAACAAATTTGTGGGTTAAACCCCATTTAAGAAACAAATGGGGTCAAGTGAGAAAGTAGAGGCTGTTTTTTTGTTTCACTAACACCAAAAGCCGAATCTGATATGAAGATTCCCCTGTTTCTTCTTTGTGTCTTCTGTTCGTAAAGAGGGTTTTTTTTTTTTTTTTTTAAAATTTTCTTTCTGTTTGATCCATTCTTGGTGGTGGATGACCATATATAGAGCTTCAGGCTGGTGGTTTCCTTGGTATGGGACTATGGATTGATGGTATGCTGTAATTTTAATTCTCTTTGGATGAGTACTTGGGATTTTCTTGTAGGCCTTGTCCTTATAAATCATCAAGCTAATTTGTAATTATTGTGTTTACAAAAGTTTCCATGTTTTAATATTTGCTTTTTATTAAGAAACTTTTGGATCATGAGAGCCTGAAAAGTTTCCAAGTCATAATGCTTATCAGGCGGTTTCATCCGATTTCATGGTTGAGAACTTGAATCTTTGAGTCTACATGAAACATTCCTTGCCAAAACAGTGTTTTCATTTTGTATTCTTTTTTCATCTGTATCATTCATGATAGATACTATACTGTATGACACAATAATTGCATTAAATCTTATGTATCGTTTTATGTCTACAGATAGAAGGATGGACATTTTGGCTGCACACGATTAGGCCTGCTGACTTTTAGTTATTCTGTTTCTTCCCATGCTTAGGCAAACACAGTAATGCTGGCAGAATGGGAAAGAAAGGAAGTTGGTTTTCTGCAATTAAAAGAGTTTTCTTACCACACTCTAAGGAAAAGCTAAATAATGTAAGCTGATGTTTTAACTCTGGTTCATAGAGACTTCAGCACTTCCTCTGTGGTTTTGTATCTCTCTAAGAACAAATGTACTACAACCATAGATGATATTTATTGTTTAATTTCATCATTTTTCTTCCTTCTGATAACCTATAGATGCATCTAATTGTAGAGTGAAATTTCTGATTGAAGTCTGTTTTGTTGTATGGTTGGCTATAGAGCTCTATGTGTTTGTTTCCTAGATAGAACAAGCAAAGTCCTGATAAGAAGTTCTACTGCATGTATCCTTTGCATCCCAAGCAGCATTGAGAAATTATATCTTTTCCCTCTCTAAGAAATGGTTTAGCATCCTTGGCTTGAAAAATCGTGATTTTTTCTACCTTAATGTTACTGAGAGGATACCTTCTGTTTTCTATGGTTAAATTGTTTCAGGAATCAGATAAAAAAAGAGGTAAAGAAAAGAAGAAGAAGGGCATAGGAAAATTGAGGCATGGAGAAACCAATTCCTTTATTCCCCTCTTCAGAGAGCCCAGCAGTATTGAGAAAATTCTGGGGGAGGCTGAAAGAGAGCATAAACTAATATTCAGGCCTCCCACACCTCCAGAGCAGCCAAGAACACCACCATTTGTGCCTCATAGAGCTGCTTCTCCACGGGTTCCATCTCAGAGGATTGCCTCTCCTAGGGTTGCTTCTCCAAGAACTGCTTCCCCTAGAGCTGCTTCTCCACCTCCACGAGCTGCTTCTCCACCATCACCTCCACCTCCTCAAGCTGCTTCCCCTAGAGCTGCTTCTCCACCTCCACCTCCACCTCCACGAGCTGCCTCTCCTAGAGCTGCTTCTCCAAGAGTTCCTCCTCCTAGGATTCTCCGTTCTCGACCAGAACCAACTTTAAGGAACCAAAATGCTTCAGCTACAAAAATTCAAGCAGCTTATAGAGGTTATATGGTAAGTCCTTTTATTCTTCTTATTAACAAAAGATATCAAGTGCAATTCAATGGGCAACTGGTTTTAAAAAGACTAAAAATGAGTAATATTAGTCTGTTGAACCGAATAACAGTATAGAAGAATTAATCTGTTCAAGATTTCAAGGTTTAAGGATTTATGACAAATACCATTGTGTGAAGTTATTGGTTATGCAAGTCTGGTCAATATTTGGTCACTTCCCCCTCCACTTTTCCAGCTGCTGGTGTTAATATATTGTTAATGGACATAATTCCCCATGGAAGCCTTACAGGCAGAAATGTAAAAAGCCATTTGATGTGAATAACTTTTAAATGGGCTCTAGTAATAACTGAAGTTTGCTTGGGTCAAACAGTTAATTGCATCAATATTTGATATTCCAACTTGATTATCTTGAAACTTCTAATGCAGGCAAGGAGAAGTTTTAGAGCTTTGAAAGGCCTTGTGAGGCTTCAAGGAGTTGTGAGAGGTCAGAACGTGAAACGCCAAACCATGAATGCCATGAAGTATATGCAGCTTTTGGTGCGAGTTCAGTCTCAGATTCAGTCACGCAGGATCCAGATGTTGGAAAACCAAGCACGACGGCAGGCTCAGTTCAAGAATGATAAGGAAGTGGAGAGTACCTTGGGCAAATTGACCTTCAGCCAGGCAGTAAGTTTTTGTTGGTTTTATTTCTGATTGAATGTGGTCTTCTTTCTTTTAAGTATGTACAGCTTGTCAAATCTAGAGATGCCCCCTTAAGCCCAATCATTTGAATTATAGAAAATTTTTATACAGGTGTTCATTTGGGCTTAAAAAAGATTGAAATGAACAGTAAAAAGAAAAAATTGTCTGATTTTTCCATAGGCCTCGGTACTTCATTCGAATATAGCATTGATCTTTTTTCGATCAAGATGGTCGGATAAAGTATTTAAATAATACAACACTTCACCTTTTACCTAGAATGGTTGTCCTTTAACTATAAATTCTCTGGTTCATAAGACCGTAGGGAACTTAGTGACACTTGGAGATCATATATTCCTGTTTGTTGTGTACATATTTGCGCTCTATATTGCTGTTAAAATGAGTAACTCAGTTGAATGTTGGATCAGTCTGAGGCAGGCAATGAAGACTGGGATGATAGTCGGCTAACAAAAGAGGAAGTAGAGGTAAGGATGCAGAGAAAGGTGGAGGCAATCATCAAGAGAGAAAGGGCCATGGCCTATGCATATTCCCACCAGGTACTCTTTAACTTTACTAGCCGAGTCCAGTTTCAACTGTATCATGTTGAATGGTTTACAAAGTCATATTTTGGGTATAACCTTTGGTGAATACCTTTCTGCATACAGCTATGGAAAGCTTCTCCGAAATCAGCTCAGACAGGTTTATCAGACATTCGCTCTGGTGGATTTCCATGGTGGTGGAACTGGTTAGATCGTCAACTACCTGCCGAAAGCCAAGGCATGAAAGGTTTCCAACTTACACCACCTAGGCCAAATTCTGAATTGAAACCTAGTCCAAGGCCACAGTCAAGCAGCAAGCAACATCAGTTCACCTTTGACAACATTATGGACACTCCCACGCCAAAATCTACAAGGTCAACTATACTTCCGGCAACAAGACCCATGCGAACTCCACCTTCTATTAGAATCCCAAAAGCAAGCAGCTCAGGGTTGTCGAAATATTCGAGACCAAGAGCTAGTGCAGCTGATTCTTCTCCATTTGACTTGCCTCTCAAGGATGATGATAGCCTCATTAGCTGCCCACCATTTTCAGTTCCCAATTACATGACTCCAACAGTTTCAACCAAAGCCAAGGTGAGAGCTAGCAGTAATCCTAAGGAGAGGTTTCCTGGTACACCGGGAAGCGAGTCGAATAGGCGGCTTTCATACCCTTTGACACAAGGGACAGGGTCATTCAAGTGGAGCAACAAAGGGTCATTGTTTTCAGGCAAGGATTCAAGCTCTCAAAGGGGCTTAGACAAGAACCAATCACTTCAATCTATAGGCAATTTGAGTGTCGATTCAACCGTTTCTATGCCTGCCACGGTTGGAAGAAAGCCATTTAACCGATTTGTGTGATTTATTTTTTTTACCCTTTATTTTTAACCTTTGATTACTTCTTCATTTTGGTGTTTTTCTTAATTGAGTGTATGGTTATACGCTAAGTTACAAAATTACCGTTGTAAAATAAAACAGGAAACCTTAGAAATTGATGCTTTGAATGTCACAGGATTTGGGGTTTGGTGAGATATTATATTAATTTTCTTCTTTGTTTTTATTATTAATTAACTTATGATTAGAGCGATGCGTTCATTAATTTTATTTATTTTAATTTTTATTTATGGATTTTTGTCTGAAATATTATGTGAAAGTATTTATTCAATATTTTTGTGAAAATTACTATTTTAAATTTTAATTTATTTAATAATAAATATATATTTTCAAATAACAGAATATATTGAAAATTTTATTATTCAAACAGCTAATAAAATAATTATTTGAAGTATTTTAATTGATATTTATTTTTTATAAAAAATAAAGGTATTGATAAATATTTCAATGTGAACTCACAAACACATGTTGGACTATGTATTGCGTATCGACCCATGCTATCATTATTTAATTCCCATCATAGTAGATAATGGTGTTAATGTAACAAACATTTTCGCCACGCTAAAATAGTTTTTAAGTACAGGTTCGGATAGGTTTAAGTTTAATTTAATTTTTAAAAATAATATATAATATTATAAATTTTTAAAATTTAATTTAAATTTAAATTAATTTTTTTAAATTAATTTGATCAAACTGAATTTTATCGATTTGATTAAATTTAGTTTATCAATGTTTAAATTTTAAATTTTTGTGTATATTATTTTCATAAATTTTTAATATATTGAAATAAGTTTATATATAAAATTAATAAATATATATAATTCGATTATATTTGATTTTTTAAAAATTTTATATTAATTTAAATATATATTTAATATTAAAATTTAATTTAAATCAAATAAAAAAATTAATCCAAAAATCAAATACTTTTTTTAAATAGATTTTCGACTTTTTAATTTTTTTTAACCACCCCCCCTCCGCCGGGCAAAGCGGCGTCACTCTTAAATATGTATTTATTGAAAGCTTGGCGAATTTTTTATTGTAATTTATTTTGCCGTCTTAACCACAACCTCCTCACTTGACACGCTACCTGCAAAATAGCATCAAACTTCAAAAACTGGTTGGAGATTCAAATTTAATTAATGATGCGCCAAACTTGATTACCTAATGATCGCAAAAGCCAAACTTTATCTGCTTTGCCTATCCCTTGCATCCGTATCCTACCTATGCTTTACGTATATATATAGTAAATAAAATTTTTATTAAATAATATAATTATTATTTTAAATTAATTAAAATTAATATATATTTAAAAATATATGCTAATATGCATTTATAAAAAAAATTACATAAATATATAAAATAAAAAACTAAATAATTAAAAATATATAAATATAAAAATAATTCATACTCATTAAATATTTAAAATGATTGGGATATGAATAAATTTAAAATGTTCATTTGATATTAAAATGAAAATAAATATAATATAAAAATTAAAAATTAAAAATGTTTTATCCATCTCGTATCCGACACTAACATTTTTGATCATAGGGTATTAAGTTGATTTCAATAAACGATACCAAACCTAAAATGAATTGATGTGTAGCCATTATCTACCCTAAAATGACGTCTAACCAATTACCAATAGTGTATCATTTCTAAGTATTAAATGGTATACGAGAAATATATTGACTTATTTAGATGTGTTTAAGAGTCGAATTATTAGTACAAATTTAAAAGTTTACTTAAGTTTTAAAAGAATTTAGATAAAAAATTAAAATTTATTAAATAAATTTAGACATAATTTTTAAATCCATTTAAATTTCGAACCAAATCTTAAACGAAAGAATTAAAGCTAGAACTCAACCTAATAAATTATATATAATTAAAATATTATATTATATAAGTATATATATGTGAATTTTTATTTTTTATATTTTATTCAAAAAATATTTTAAAATTTTTTTATTATATAAATTAAATTTAATAGGTTAACTTGAAATTTATTTTTTCAATTTTGATTGATCTTGGAAAAATTTTAAAATTTGAAGTATTAGATTGAATTGAACTTTGATAAATAAATAGGTTATTAATATAAAATATAAATTCAATCCGAAGTCGACTCTATCAAACCTATACACACCTCTAAACCTACTCCACGTATGACTATATAATCTTGAGTTCTTGACCATTGGGAGCATGCCTTGCCTACACCAAATAAACATTTTTTTCTTCCTTGCCAAAAAGAATGCATTAAAAATGATGTAATTATTGGCTCTTTCTATCAGTGGTGTCTTTTTTTTTTAGCTGCTAAAAACCCAAATAAGCAAACAACCAAAAAAAAAAAAAAAAGGAAAAAAAATGTCTCTGAAATTCGATTCCATCACTTTTCAGTCTCAAAAATTCACTTCTTTTGCTCTTCCATTAATGCCCCGCCTCAGCTCTTCCAAGTTTTGCATGGCCTCCAAAGCTCCTTGTTCGGGCACCAAGTTATTGTCTAATTCCTTTTTTTTATTTTTTTGCTTTTTATTAATTTTTTTAACTATATTATTTGGATTGATATTTTGAACGTTTTTTAACTATAGTGAAATGTTTAAAGTTTTTAATTTTAAAATTTTTTATTATGATATTTAAATTACAAATTTATTAAAATATGATATTTGAAAATTATTTATTAATCATGTATTATTATTTAAAATTAATTATGTTGGAAGTAAGTATATCACATTAATTAAAAATTTTATAATTTAAATATCATATCAGAGATTTTTAAAATTAAAAAATCATATTAAGCTTTTAATTATAGACATTAACCCTTGTTATGTTCTTGTAAATCATTTATCTCGAGTTTTTTTTTTTTTTTTTTTTCTTGAGTTTTAGGGAAGTTATGTTTGTGGGCTATAGCTTCCAACATCACTGAGTTACTTTCAAAACTTGACATGGCACAAATTACAGACAAATCAATGCCTTCACAATGAATACTGAGTTCTACAACAAAATCACTAATCAGGAACAACCAAATAAACCCCACCACGTTTTGATTGAAAACAAACCACATTTGTCAGCTTCCCAAATCAGTTCATCCGTTTTCCCAGCTTCTCTCTCTCTCTCTCTCTATATATATATATATATATTTATACACTTCATCCTATCAAAGAGCCGTGACAAAGAACACTTTTCCCATGCAAGTAATTGTTTTTCTAAACTGCAAAGATCACTGACCTGAATTATCCATGGCAATTGCAACACTAATAATTCTTTATCTGTTTGTGATTTCTTTCAGTTTGTGGTGTTGGGAATGGTTTTCTCAATTTTTTTTTTGTTTATGTGAAGGAATTTAATCTTAAATTTGTTTACTTGAATCCAGAGATGAGGTTGAGAATCACAAAAAGCGTTTCATGCCTCGTCAGAAGGTGCATGTTGAGGTCAAACATACGATGCCACCACAAAAGATTGAGATATTCAAATCCTTGGAGGAATGGGCTGAGAACAACCTTCTAATTCATCTCAAACCAGTTGAGAAATGTTGGCAACCCCAAGATTTTCTTCCAGATCCCACATCCTCTGATGAATTTGATGAGCAATTCAAAGAACTAAGGGAAAGGACAAAGGAGATTCCTGATGATTACTTTGTTGTTTTGGTTGGTGATATGATCACAGAAGAAGCCCTTCCAACTTACCAATCATTTCTTAATTCTTTAGATGGAGTTCGTGATGAAACATGTGCTAGCCTTGCTTCCTGGGCAATTTGGACAAGGGCATGGACGGCTGAAGAAAACAGGCATGGTGATCTACTTAACAAGTATCTCTACTTGTCTGGTAGAGTCGACATGAGACAAATTGAGAAGACAATCCAGTATTTGATTGGATCAGGAATGGTAATAAGATGTTTACTACAATTTTCCTCACCTCTCATAGTTTAATTTTGAAACCTCAAATGGGTACTTTGCATGCACAACTTCGTTAAATCCTTTGCGTTTGTTTGAAAGGACCAAAGGCGATCCATTTTTCAAGGTAATGTGTTCATGGATACTCAAAATTTGAAAAATAAAAAATTTTGAAGGAAAATATTTTCTAAGCACCTCCAAATTTTCTTTGGACACATTTTTTCGATAAAATTAATCAATTCATTAATAATTTTTTGTATATATTGTAAGTGAGTATTCTTGAAAATAATCTTGGATCCAGCACTGGAAAGGACTGCATATTAGGGTCTCTAATGCTTTGTTTGAATAAATATTGATAATAACAAAAAAAGATAAGAAAATTTTTTAAAAGAAAGGGAAGGCACGATCTATTAAGTTCTAGGTTTTCTTTGTGTATGAAGGGGCTGAGATAACCCATGAAACAGTTCTATAAAGTCATGCATACGCCCTTCCCTGTTGTCTCTAATTTTCATCTTCTTCTTTGGATTAACACCTTTTGAAAAATTAATGCTTCTAACATGTCACTTCTGAAATTTCACTAAATTGCGTTAAAAAATTCTTTAAATTTCACTGATCAAAATTCAATTTTTGACAATATCAGTTATCATTAAAAAAAAAAAATTCCTCGCGTACCATTTTGTAGGAAGATGGTATGTATACATGCAAGCAAAATAAATATAAATGCAAGATGCCATGTTGTATAGTTACAACTTACAATCAGTGTTAAACTGTGCTTTTTCTTTCCCTACTGATTAATCTTTTTAAATTTATAGGATTTTCGTACAGAGAATAATCCATATCTGGGATTCATCTACACATCATTCCAAGAGAGGGCAACATTTATCTCCCATGGGAATACAGCCAAGCTTGCCAAGGATCATGGGGACACTAAGTTGGCTCAAATTTGTGGTACAATTGCCTCAGATGAAAAGCGCCATGAGACAGCCTACACTAGAATTGTTGAAAAGTTGTTTGAGATTGATCCTGATGGAGCAATCCTAGCCTTTGCTGACATGATGAGGAAGAAAATCACAATGCCAGCACAGTTTATCTATGATGGCCTAGACGACAACCTTTTCCACCACTTCTCAGCTGTTGCACAAAGGCTTGGGGTTTACACTGCAAAGGACTATGCTGATATTCTCGAGTTGTTGGTGGAGAAATGGAAGGTGAAGGAACTGTGTGGACTTTCAGCTGATGGGCGTAAAGCTCAGGATTATGTTTGTGGACTTCCTCCAAAAATTAGAAGGTTGGAGGAGAGAGCTCAAGAAAGGGCCAAACAAGCACCCAGCATTCCATTCAGTTGGATTTTTGATAGAAAAGTGAAGCTCTAATGTCTGAGAAATAGATTAAAATGAATTATATAAGCATGTATTGGAAAAAAATTATAAAAACCTTTAAAATAATTTTTCTTTTGGTCATGATTATCTATGATCAACTGCATCTTTGTGGTCCATTGATCTTTATGATTTAATTTTGGACTTTGCTTTTCCTATATCTTTGTGATCGTTGGAGATGAAATTCTTATTATCATAAATAGATTTAATTATTTATATATTCGTGTCATGTAAAATATTAAAATTTACATATTTACATTAAAAATTATAATTCACAATTTATATTAACATAAAAATATAAAATATATATTTTTGATTTTGTTAAATTTATATATAATTATCATTAAAATTTTAAATCTTATCAATTTCGTATTTTATTTTTATTTTGCAATCATATCATATTACAATATTACAATATGATATTTTAAAATTTCAGATTTACTAATAAGTCTATCAATTTACCCACCCACAGTTACCGTGGGAAAAATAAATTAAGATTTTAAACTTAGCACCCTTAAAGAAACTGAAAATAGCTGTTAAACAATGCACTCTGTTCATAAAATGATATGACATGGCATAAATATAGTAATAGGATAATTTTTAAAACAAATAAAGATATGGGTATGGTAGGATATGGTAATAAAAATTTTTTTATGTATTTTTTATAAAAAAAAATATTTAATGTAAATATAAATACAATAAAAATATATGTATTATTGTTTATTGGTAAAATTTAATTATAAAAATAACCCAAATTTTGGTAAAGAGTGATTAAATGGGACAATTGCATGTGAGTCCCAAGATATTTGAGATTCACAACAATTTTAGATCCTTGACTGGGTGAAAAGATCACAAAGGGACACACAAAAAGATAATACTCTTCAAATAATACTCTTTCTTGCAATGCATGGTGCAATTGCTTGGCTTGGAATGGTGGACAAATTGATAAATCGCTAAAATGCAAAGGCAGATTGATGAGTGAAGAAAATGCAAACAGGGTTGTGTCTAAATGTATCATCTGTCATGTTAGAAGCGTGTCCGAACACATATTCATGTCATAAACATATTCGTATCAAATATGTATCAAATACATTTACATCATGATACATGATGTCATATTTTTTTAATAAAATGTTAAATTATTAATTTAAATGATCAAAATTTAAATTTTGACAACTTCAAATAAAACAATTGAGAATAGCTTATTCCTATCAGTCTTGTCGTATAAAATTTTCTTAGCTAATGATTATCTGGTCTTACTGTAGTCTATCATGTTAAGGCTTACAGTGGTTTTTCTGTTTGTCTCTTTCAGTTTGGTGGTGTTGAGGGTGGTTAGGATATTAATTACTTTCTCAATTATTTTTCCGTACATGAATTTATTTTTTGGGTTGCATTAATTAGAAGCTATTTCTTCTTTTCTGTCTTTTAAAAGTAATATAATATATTTTCTATCTAAACTTATGTTAGTGTTTTGGTGTTGGTGTCATAAGTAGTTTAGCCAATATGTTGAAGGTTTATATCCTTGATCATCCCCTGATTGCTATGAAGAATTGGTGAGTCTAGTGTCTTTAATAGGTCAAGGATATTTGATTATTTTCTTACCTGCAAATTTTAATTCATGCCAAAACATATTCATGTACTGGAAAAGAAAGAAAATTTATGTAGTTCTGGACATTTGGTTACTGCATATTGTGGTTTCTGAGGCACAGTTTGTTAAGTTCTGTTTTCTTTAGTCATTTGGTGCTGTTTCATTGTGTGTGGAAGGGGCTGAGGAAACCCATACCAGTTCTTGACTGTCATGGGTGCCTTTTTGTTTCTTTTCTTCTAATTTGGATTAATACCTTGTGAAAATGAATGCATCTTCACATTGCACTGTATCATGGAATTTCACTAAATTGTGTAGAAATTCAGGACTGCAATTCAGGAGGATGATTGACATTTGATTAATTTTTACTCTCAAAAAACACCATTGCCTCAGATGAAAACTCCATAAGACAGCATATACTAGAATTTTTTGAAAAGCTCTTTGAGATATAACTGATGACATGACGAGAAAGAAAATCTCCATGCCAGCTCACTTGATGTATGATGGCTGATCAAGATTACAGGCTCTTCGACCACTTCTCAGCTGTTGCCACAGAGGACTACTAGTGTTCCTGGCGTACAGATGGGAGGTGAAGGAGCTAAATGGAATAGGCGTAAAACTAGAGAGCTCAAGCAAGCAACCAGTATTCCATTTAGTTGGATTTTTTATAGAGAAGTGATGCTCTAAGCCCAAAGGTCCAAATAAGAAATATCAATTTCCCTCTCCTCCAAAGTGTTTTTCATTCAAGTAAAAAACAGAGCTAGAGAGAAACATGATAAAGCTGCAACTTCTCTTTAAATTCCAATGTAATGTGCCATCTGTAAGAGAAAGAATTGTTTCGTGGGGTGTGTCATTTGTGTAGCTTTAGTTGGAGTGTACATACAGTCTTTTCTGAGGCGACTGTAGTTTCTGATATGTTCTTTTTGATAGTGTCTTCCTTGTGCGAGTTCATTCTTCAGCTTTTTCTTCTATAGTTTTCTTGAGCTTTAAAGCTAATAATCTTCTAATGGCAATTTTGGTGATAATGATGGCAATACCCCGTAGCTGTAGAGTTTAGCAATACTTTGGTCAGGTTACAGAACATATACAGTGACAATATTTTTCTAAATATATTTGTTTTAAGAATGTTTATCAGCTAATTTAATTGGGATAACATTTTCTTCACAAGATTTTTACATTCATCATCATTCCAACCACCATCAATGAAACATTAGAAAGAACGCTTCATAAATCAATCATTAAAACATTAGACATTGTTACTTTCTGCCACAACATCTCTACCCTTACACACAGAACAGAAGTCTGGACTGTTCCAAAACACTTTAGCATTAGCAACAAAAAAAAACCAAATAACAAAGTTTGGGTTTAAATAAAAAGTTTTAATTAACCATTTATAATTCAAAATTGAAGATTTTAGTGTCTTTCATAACAGTATTCCTCTTCGTTTAGGGTTTAAGAACACTGCTCCAGAGATCTCCCATAATTTCCATCAAAACAAGTTAACTTATTTAGATTTGTGATAAACAAATTTACTTTGTTTTGCAATCGTAATTAAAGAATAAAAATAATTGATTCAAAATAAAAAGCTAGTAAAAAAAGATGTAGCGACTTGTTCGAGGCCACGATCAAAACGATAAAGAAATTTGATGGGCACGGAGAATCGCTTCTTGTTATGGCCAACCTTCAATGCAAATCACGCCATTTTTTTCAAACATAAAAAAAAGTTGACGCCTTTGCTCTGCAAATTGGCTTCTTTCACATAATTGAAATGAATATGAAAAAAATTGAAAAAAAATAAAAAGGAAAAAGAAACCTTGCAAATAGAAGAAGAAGACCAGGAAGCCGCGTGAGATTGCAGAGACTGGGTGCGGGAAAGGGGTCCATTATAGGTCTCGGAATTGAGGAACCAAAACTCTAACCCTAAAACTTGAGATCCGATTACTAATCTGAAATGGCGGAATTGACCTTTTAGGGCTCTGAAATAGATGTGTCTTTGTTGGACTTGGGTCTGGATGGAATTGTTCCCTGGGCTGGGCCATTTAAGATAAACGACATGTTTTGAGTTTTTTTTTTCATTATTTTTCAATACACTTATTTATCGTAAAATTGTATTTATTATAAAATAATTATATTGAAATTTGAAAATTTTCAGGTTTTTTATACATTTTAATTGATATTTTGAAAATTATTGAATCGATTAATTACAAATAAAAATAAATTAATTAAAAATGTTTATTATTTAACTAAATTTTGTATATTTTTAAAATATCGACTTAAATCTAAAAGAGAAAGCGACTCAAGCAGAGAAAGAATTACATATGTTTAAACTGTATAAAGATCAATCAAGTGACCGGAACAAATGAAGCTATGAAACTTTATTTTCTTGTACCTGTAGAAGAGGGCACCTGATAACAGTTGATAACTAATCAGCCTTGTAGTTAGTAACTAGCTCAAGATGGGTCTAATGGTCCAAAGGGTTAGCAATAATATTCAAATCCGTCAATCTTACTTGATGGAATTTTCTTTAAATTAAATTTTGAATCAAGTTGGATTAGATTTATTTTTGAAATAAATTTCAAGTAAATCCATTCTAACCTAATTCAGTATATATATATATATATATATGTATTATTTATTTAATTTTATATTTATATATATGTATTATATTAATAAAATTATTATAAAATAATTTAATTTAAGATATTAATTTAATAAAAATACTATATTATATATAATTAAAATATAATTTATATTAAAAAAATATTTTTTAAATATTAAATTAAATTAAAATTAATCGAATCATTTGTCGTTTTACACGTGTTATTACAATCCAAGTAAGATGTTTACTCGTTCCATTGATAGCAACACAGGCAATTTACACCTTCACCTTCACCGCCATTACCATGACAGACCTTATCCAAGCAACAAAACCACAAAACGTTACAAAGATAAGGTTATGGTGAGATGATAAGGTTGAATGGACTTTTACAACAAAGTTTCCATGTAGAACATACCCAAAGACAGAAAATTATAAGAAAGATAGCATCATCACATTGGTGATAACGACATACAAAACCTTATATTCCATTAGGTTTCTCTCTTAACCAGAGACAGCATATACAAAGTACAGCTTAATTCTAAGAAGGTTGTAGAAAGAAAAGGCACTTCACGATGTTTACAGCATGAAAATGCAGAATGACAGTACAGAATTAACATAATTGAAGAAATTTTTATTTCCCAGAGTCCAATACAAGGTACAGATCATGCTAGCTGAGAATAGCAAGTATAGAAACTTTTCTGCTACTACGTTTAAACACTATCAACAATATTGGTCAACAGCCAAAAGTGCTAAAGGAATCTTTATATTGATCAAATTCCTACAGTAATGACCGTATGATCAAAGATTGCAGTTCAGTGCACATCAAAAAATGCACATCCAATGAATATATTTTTAGTACTTACGAGGCAATAGCTTTCAGTAGTTTAGATGCTCTAAACTTCTAAGCTTTCACTTCAACTTGTTTCAGCCCATGTTCCGGTATCAACAATCCAAGCCATTCTTTCCTTTCTGTAACTGCTTAAGATTTATTTTTCTTCAGGG